AGGATTGCAACCTGTGCCAACAGCTGCTTCACACTATTGCACTAGTGTTAGGAAGTTGGTGTAACTAGGTTAGGAAGTTGGTGTGATTATTTTTTTTAACCCGTTTTAGAATTTTTCCTTTTCCTATTTTTTAAATTTATTTATTTAATCATTTTTTCAATACAAACAACAACTGCAAAAGACACATACAACAAAAACCATAATAACACTACTAACACAATTTGACAATTCAAATTTGAATACTGATATACCTATGACTACACCTTTTTAACAATATTTCCCCACCTCTCCTCCCCCCACTTCCCACCACTGTCTTGGGAGACAACGAAGGAGTGTGCCTTCAGGGGGTCACGTCAAATCCTTGGGGAGTTATAGCACCTGCTGTGGCTGTAGTAGAAGCCAAAAAGGGAGAGACATGTTTTGTTGCAGCTGGGGCAGATGAAGGTGTCCAATTTCACTAAGGCAGACGCACCAGGGCGTTCCTTCTCTCTGTGCTCCTCCCAGTGGCCATTCCTCCTCTGGTCACTGCTAGATTCACACCATTTGAATGGCAATGCCCATCAACTTTTTTGGGGGGGGCGGCCCCCTCAAATATTTTTTTGGGGGGGCCGAAAACCGCTTGACTCCCAGGGTTGGCAGGTGGGAATCTGAACAGCCGCCCAGAGTCAGTGCAGGGACTTAAGGGCTTTATTTTGCAGTCCGGAGCTCAAGAACGAAACCAGAACTCCTGGCGTGGAGGGCAGTGAGTGAGAAAGGGCTTATCTAAAGCAGTGTTTTTCAACCACTGTTGCGCGGCACACTAGTGTGCCGCGAGATGTTGCCTGGTGTGCCGCGAGATGTTGCCTGGTGTGCCGCAAGATGTTGCCTGGAGGGAGGCGGGCGAGTCGGGCGGCGAGAGGCGGGGTGGCGGCGGTGAGGAGAGGCCGCCCAGCGCGGGGCTCTCGCCGTCTGCCTGCCTGGCTGCCTGTGAGCTCGGCGGGCAGCGCCTCCGTCCGCAGCGCCCGCCTCGCGGCTCTCATTCCCTGCCCCTGCCAAAGCTCACCCAGCCAAGCCGCGCTCTCCTTCCTGCCTCGCTTTGCTGCCTCCTCCCCCCCACCCCCAAAGCTTGGAGGTTCCCCGGCGCCGACCCGCAGGTTTGACCCCTTCTCACACCTGTTCGCGCTCCTTGCACGGAATGGGGCGGATGGGGAGGAACGGGGCTCGCCGCTGCCTCCGCTCGCCCTCCCCCCCTCTGCCGGCGGTCCCGCGATTCTTGGCTTTTTGGCCGTTGGCACAGAAGGAAGGCAAGGGGGAGGGGGAAAAATTGAAACTTACACTTTCGTGCGTCCCTCCCGGCGTGACGCTGCGCGCTGACGTCACGGGGCTGTAATGGTGGTGTGCCTCGAGATTTTTTTCATGAAACAAGTGTGCCTTTGCCCAAAAAAGGTTGGGAAACACTGATCTAAAGAAAACAGAAAGCCTTTGCACCAGAAGCTCACGTGGCGCTAAATCTAGCTCAGCACAAAAGTTGAGAAAGAGCCGGCAGTCTTTCCCACCAGACATCACATTCATTCTGAGCTTGTGCAGGGTTTTCCCCCCTGCACCATCTAGGGCTGATATTTTTCGGATTATTAGTGTAATCTGCGTCTTCAAATGGGTTTCCCATGACTTAGCAATGCCAGCGGAAATGTAAAGCAAAACTGAGAGGCGCAGAAGTGGTGTTGCGCTGTCGCTTCCAGGAAAGGGGGAAGTCCAAGTCGGCTTTTGAAGGATCAGCAATGCACAAAATGTTCCTGGAGGTGCTTGAAAGAACGGACATGAGGTTTGTCTGGTCCTTTTTGGACTCACTGGCGCGTCGTGGGGGTTTTGGGATACTGCCGGGCAGACGGGGGCGTCAGGCAGGCCCCCAGCTGGCTCCAGCCACCGGCCAGCAGCCGGGCGATCACCAGTCTCCCTTGGAACAGCATCAAACAGCGACACAAGCCTCAGATACGTTTAGAGACCCATGCACGCTCTACCAGCAGAGTGAATAAATCTTTGCACAGTGGAAGAGGCGGACAGAGCCATGTGTAAGCAGTATTTACAAGCATTTGTTCAGCATAGTTCTCTGTGCTCCTCCCAGTGGCCATTCCTCCTCTGGTCACTGCTAGATTCACACCATTTGAATAGCAATGCCCATCAACTTTTTTTGGGGGGGGGCGGCCCCCTCACATGTCTGCTTCCCTTCGTCTCCAGCAAAACAGCAACAACAAACGCTATATACAAACGGAAGTTCCCAGCAGAATGTGCTGGAAATAAACAGGCATGTGACACACAACAGTCATGCCTGTACCCTTTTAAGGTGAAATGGAACTATATCCTAACAGGGGGCAGAGAGGCATAGCTGTCAAACATCCCTTATTTAGCGGGAAACTCCCTTATCCCAGTGCCGTGTCCCGCTGCTGTCCCTTATTGATGATGTCCCTTAAATTTCCTGGGTTTCAAAGGAAGCAGCTCCTCTCCCTCCCTCCCTGCTGGCCAGGGAGGAGGGAGGCTCCAACTGTGTTGCTTGGCTGCCCAGTCCGCCTCCCTCCAGCCTCCTCTCACCAGCCTCGGCCCCCGGGAGCCCCTCCCAGCCGGGACTGGCAGGACCTTCTGCCACCATCCTTCTCGCGGCCGCCAAACTGAGCATCTCTGCCTGGGGCCTCCCCTCTGCCCGTCACTGCCGCTCCCGCTAGGCTATACTGCGGCTGCACCGCTGAAGGACCCAGATAAGATGGGCAGCCTGGCGCGCCCTATGAATTGCTGAGGAGCCTTGAGAGGAGAGCGAGGGCAACCACAGAGAAAGCAGTTCAGAGAGAGGAGGCCGAGGTGGAGGTGGAGGCGCGGGCAGGTGTTCCAAGGGCTAACCGTAGAGGGGGAAAGCGGAGGAAGGACCGCAAGCGCTTCTCCCATAGATTTGTAGTGGTAGACTAGCATAGATGGTCTGATCTGTGGGTTTACTTTGGGCGCTATTCCCCCCCTTCCTCCCGCCCCGCCTGATGGAAACTGAGAGCTGCAGATGGAGCACGAGAGAAAAGATACAGAACTGCAGCAGCGTCTTCGTAGCTTGGACTTTGTTTTGCGCAAAAAGTGGTTGCTGCTTGTAGTTATTTAATTGCAGTGTTTCATCGGCTGGTGTCTTGAGCAGCAACCTCTGGAAACGAAGGGCTAAAAACCGGCGCTGCTCTCCCAAATGATCTGGTCCCTTTTAACTTTGTATTTCAGCTGGTTGACTAAAATCCCTTATTTTGGCTGCTGGTCCCTTATTGTCGAGGCTACTGGTCCCTTATTTTCAAATCTGTAAGTTGACAGCTATGCTCTGGTCACTGCTATGGATTCACACCATTTGAATAGCAATGCCCATCAACTTTTTTTGGGGGGGGCGGCCCCCTCACATGTCTGCTTCCCTTCGTCTCCAGCAAAACAGCAACAACAAATGCTATATACAAACGGAAGTTCCCAGCAGACTGTGCTGGAAATGAATAGGCATGTGACACACAACAGTCATGCCTGTTACACTTTTAAGGTGGAATGGAATTATATCCTAACAGGGGGCAGAGAGGCTGGAACGCAGACATGCTGCGCTGACCCCCAAAGCACCCCAGGACCTCTGCAACCCACCTGCTTCTCCATGCAAGGAAACCTTTTCCCCCAACTCTCTTTCAGCCCTCTTTTTGAGCGGAGACACTGAGAAGGGCAAGCCTGGATGTTACATATTTACAGAAACAGACGAAACTCACAAAACAGTAGAAAACAAACTGGACTTCGGAAAAGGGCAACTGAAATGATCCAGGCAGGATTTTCCTCCCCACCCTCTCAGGTGGGTGCCATTGCCAGTCTAAGAGAACAAGGGAGGCGTTCAGGGCAAGTCTTGGCACCGCTTTCTCTAGAAAAATAGCCCTGGAATCCCGGGGACTCCCCTGCGAAGAAAGGTTGCAGCATTTGGGACTTTTTGGTTTTGAGGAAGGTTACCAGACGTCCCCGTTTCCCAGCGACAGTCCCCGGATTTACAAATCAGTCCCCTGGCAAAATCTATCTATTTAATAGGAAGTTGAAAAGTGTCCCCGGATTCATTGAAAAAAAAAACTGGTAATCTTAGTTTAGAGAAGAGGCGACATGATAGGAAGTTGGCAAATTATGCATGGAATGGAGAAAGAGGGTAGAGAAAAGCTTTCCCCCCTCTCTTGTGGACCACCAGAACTTGTGGACATCCCAAGAAGCCGAATGTTCGAAGATTCAGGGCAGAGGAAAGAGAGGACTTTTTCATGCAGCGCACAGCTGAACCATGGAACTCCCTCCCACAGGCGACAGCGAAGGCCACCAAGTTGGACGGTCTCAAAGAAATTCACAGAGGAAATAATAATGATAATAATAATAATAATAATAATAATAATAATAATAATAATAATTTATTATTTATACCCTGCCCATCTGGCTGGGTTTCCCCAGCCACTCTGGGCGGCTTCCAACCGAATATTAAGAACAACACAGCGCCAGACATTAAAAACTTCCCTAAACAGCCCCTAGCCTGGAGGGCTCTGCTCTGCCTCGCCAGTCAGAGGCAGCGATGCTTCCGCATGCCAGTTCCTGGAAATCACAGGAGGGCCAGGTGCTCTCGTGCTCATGTTCTGCTGGGAAAGGGACAAACCACGTCTTACGAGAAGTTGTCAGTTTTCCTGGAAGTATTAAAGAGCTTTTAGTTAAAAACAGGTGCTGCAGATTTTATGGGTACCTCTAGGCCATGCATAGGTAAGCAAACTAAGGCCTGGGGGTCCAGATCCGGCCCAACTGCCTTCTCAATCCAGCCCATGGACAGTCCGGGAATCAGCATGTTTTTACATGAGTAGAATGTGTCCTTTTATTTAAAATGCATCTCTGGGTTATTTGTGGGGCATAGGAATTCATTCATTTTCCCCTCCAAAAAAATACAGTCTGGCCCCCCACAAGGTCTGAGGGACAGTGGACCGGCCCCTGCTGAAAAAGTTTGCTGACCCCTGATCTAAGCTATGCTTTAAAAACAATTTAAAATATTTGGTGAAGAATGTGGCATTTTGTTTTGTTTTGTTTTGTCTGCTGGGGGCATGTGGGTGGGAGGCAGGGCTTTCCTTTATGACTCAGAAACCAGATGTATAAAGCTCTTCCTTCTCCCTCCGCTCAGACACCCCCCTTGCGAAGAGGACGAAGAGGATGTCTTCAGCCACAGGTAGGGAGCCAGCTGCCTCTGCCGCCTCTGCCAAGGCTTCTTAGCCACACTCTCTGCAGCCTCAGTGGCGCCATCTGCGCCCACACGGACGTGCCCTTTCAGTGGCATCAAAAAGAGGAAGGAAGCAGCTGCAGGTCCAAGGGGAACTTTCCCTCTTGCTTGAAGAGTAACTCAAACCGAGGCTGGGCACCTTCAAAGCCCAACATCCCTGAAGAATCCTGGGAACTGTAGTTCTCTGAGGGAAACCAAGCCTTGTGAGGAGCAGTTGAGGGAGCTGGGGTTGCTGAGCCTGGAATGGAGGAGACGGAGAGGAGGCAGGAGAGACCTCTTCAAACGCCTTCCACGGGGAAGATGGAGCAAGCTAGATTTCTGCTGCTCCGGAGGGAAGGATCCGAACCAAGGGATCCAAATGGCAAGGAAGGAGATTCCGACTCGGCAGCAGGAAGCAACTTCTGACAGGAAGAGATGTTCAGCCGTGGGAGGTGGGTCTCGGTCAGGGATTCTTGAGCTGTTCATTCCTGCAGACTCTCCAAGCGTCCTTATTTTCCAGGGACGTCCCTGATTTAGAGAAGCCGTCCCGGTTTCTGATTTGATCCTCTGCGGAGTGTTCCACTTTTCCTTAGGATGTCCCTATTTTCATTGGAGGAATGTTGGAGGGTATGGAATTATCTGACTTCAGAGCCGTCTAAAGGCAATCCTGTATAGGGAAGGGTTTTTAAAAATGTTTTAATGTGTTTTTATATATGTTGGAAGTCTCTGGGGTAACCCAGTAAGATGTGCGGGGTATGAACAGTAAAATCACCCTTCTCTATTTTCATCAGGGAAATGTAAAGGGTATGTTCCTGCACTGCAGGGAGTTGAACTAGATGACCCTTGCGGTCCCTTACAATTTTGTTCTACGGGGGCATTTGTGAATGGCCATTTTCAACCTGGTGCAGTAGTGATAAAGATACGCAATAATTTGTCCATTCGTTTTATTTACTCGTCTATTTATTCCTTGCACTTCCACCTTGCCTTTCTGCCGAGGTGCTACACAAAGTTAAAATGCTAAGACACATCCATGAATGGATGGAGGACGTACAGCTGGCCAGTGGTGGCCTTGGGGACAGTGTGACGGGGTCACCCTGGGCTCATCTTGGCCTGATTGCCCTCCTCTGAGGGAGAGGAAGGAATCCCTTGCTGGGAACTAAGCGCTGGTCACTTTTCGCATTTTATTACGTCTTAGGACCTCTGGCGCTCATGTTTTGCTTTTGTTTTGCATTTGCCGTACGCCACCTTGAGACCTTTGTGGTTGTGGTTGTTGTTTAGTCATTTAGTCATGTCCGCCTCTTCGTGACCCCCTGGACCAGAGCACGCCAGGCACTTCTGTCTTCCACTGCCTCCCACAGTTTGGTCAGACTCATGCTGGCTGCTTAGAGAACACTGTCCCACCATCTCGTCCTCTGTCGTCCCCTTCTCCTTGTGCCCTCCATCTTTCCCAACATCAGGGTCTTTTCCAGGGAGTCTTCTCTTCTCATGAGGTGGCCAAAGTCCTGGAGCCTCAGCTTCAGGATCTGTCCTTCCAGTGAGCACTCAGGGCTGATTTCCTTCAGAATGGAGAGGTTTGATCTTCTTGCAATCCATGGGGCTCTCAAGAGTCTCCTCCAGCACCAGAATTCAAAAGCATCCATTCTTCGGCAATCAGCCTTCTTTATGGTCCAGCTCTCACTTCCATACATCACTACTGGGAAAACCATAGCTTTAACTATACGGACCTTTGTTGGCAAGGTGATGTCTCTGCTTTTTAGGATGCTGTCTAAGTTTGTCATTGCTGACCTTTGTGGTACAAGGAGGCTAACGGGCAAAGAAATGGAAAGAAGCAGATCTTTGCAGGCAGGCATTTCAGATGCCTCAAAGCAGCACTTTTGCTGCTCGGCCCCACCCTGAGCTCCAGCCACTGCCATTCACCAACCAGGCACCTGGCTAGACCGTGGCTAGACCACCTCCTTTCTCTCTTAACCTGTCAAAGCCATCTAAGCCAGCGGCCACTGCAGCATCCTGCAGCAGGCAGTTCCCAAGGTTCACGACGCGCAAAGGAGCGCTTTGCACCTTGCGAGCTGGGGAGAGGTTCCCTTGGGGTGCAGGGCTCCGGGGCCAAGCAATGAGCTGGTGGAGACTCTTGCTGGCTGCACATGCTAACTGTCTCTCTCCCCCTACCCTGCTCTCTTTCCAGGCCTTCGCCCCCAGGCACGCTGCCTTCTCTTGGCCCTGATCTGCAGCGGCACCTCCTTCCAAGGTAAGGCAAAGTGGCCAGGGGGAGGAGATAACCCTCTAACAACACCCCCTCCTTTTAAAAACCCCATTGGCCTTTTAAAAGTGAGTGATTAGCAGTCAGGGATCAGCTGCCCCACAGCCAGACCTTTCCAGAGGGTCTCCATCACCTTTGGCAACATCTCCGGTCTGGAAACCCAGCCTGGTGAGGAACGGTTGAAGGAGTTGGGTATGTTTAGCCTGGAGAAGAATGACAGGTGATGTGATAGCTGTCCCAGACATCTGAAGGCAGCCCTGTTTAGGGAAGCCTTTAATGTTTAACAGACTATTGTATTTTAATGTTTTGTTGGAAGCCACCCAGAGTGGCTGGGGAAACCAGATGGGCGGGGTAGAAATAATAAATTATTATTATTATCAGGAAGAATTTTCTGGTGGTAAAAGCTGTTCAAATGTGGAACGGACTCCCTTGGAAGGTGGTGGACTCTCCTTCACTGGAGAGTTTAAAGCAGAGGTGGGGGGGTGTGTATGGATCTGCCAGGGATTCTTTAGCTGAGATTCCTGCCTTGCAAGACTGGATGACCCTTGGGAGCCCCTTCCAACCCTGTTGGCTCTTTGGCAGGGCTGAGGCAGGGGCGTAATCCACAGACTCCAGAGCCAACAGCGGGTGCGACACCAGAGCATGGAACTCTGAAACAGATGTTAAATGCAAAGGGAGAGCCAAGCAGAAACTGTCTGCAAATCCCTGAGCAGACTGTTCCGCAGGCTTTCGTGGCACAGGGCTTGCCAGCGCTTGGGAACCAGAGAGTAAGGGGCAGTGGTGGTCTACCAAAGATGCTCAGGAGTCCATATGATGCCTTCAAGGGGTGCGTGGCCCGAATGCCTTTGCACCTTTCGGAAAGCGCTCTCTTTTTTGCAACACAATAAGCAGGTCTAGTTGTGGTTCTCCATCTGAAACCGCACACCGGTCATCTTGGGGGGGCTAGGAGGTCATCCGTCTGCACCAGCAGAAAAGGCTTACCAAGGGTCCCAGGGAGACTCTTCAAGAGTTTTCTCTTTTCAGATGCAGCCGCAAATGTGCAGCCGCACATATCTTCTGACCTTGTCGTGCAGAAGCCTTCCTGTGGTAAGTCCTGCCCGCTTTGCACAAGCAAGCCAGACCGGTTTGAGAGGGGTGCTGTGGGTCTGGGGGAACGATTGGTTCATGGAGGGGCGATAGCCAATGAAGCCTAGCTTTGGGAACCTTTGCCCCCCCCTCCCCGGAACATGAAGGTTGTCCCTCCAAGACCCACCCGGAGCATCTGAGTTATCCTTAGTATAGAGCGCAAGACTTGTCAGGAAGAATTGGTCAGCCTCTCCTTAGACAACTCCCGATATTTAGATGCAAAAGGATTAAAGCCCCTACAGGGAATTATTTCTTTGCGCAAGGAATATTGCCTCGAATCCAGCAGTTACCTCAAAGCAGCCCACAAGAAGCTAGCTGGATGTTGGAAGACCCAGGAGAGAGAAAAGAAAGGACTTCTTTATGAAGCACGTAGTTAAACTGTGGAACTCCCTGCCACAGGAGGCAGTGATGGCCAGCAATCTGAATGGATTTAAAGCAGGATTAGATGAACTCATGGAGGAGGAGAGGGCTATCGATGGCTCCTAGCCAGGCTGGCTCTGCTCTGGCTCCACTGCAGGGGGAGTCAATGCTTCTGAAGGAGGGAGGGGGGTCTTGTGTTCAAATCCTGCTTGTGTGTTTCCATCAGGGCAGCTGGTTGGCCACTGTGAGAAGAGGATGCTGGACCAGATGGGCCATTGGCCTGATCTAGCACCCTCTTATATACTTGTCCACACGTGGGCAGCCATTTGGAACTTGTATTCCAGAGAGTGGGGGAAGCTGGGGGAGCCTGCTAGCCCCCCCCCAAAAATTTAAAGGTGATTCATGGTACCTTAAAGACTGATAATTTTGAGGCAAGCAGGTGGGGTGCCTGAATGGGGCAGTCTTTTACGATGCAGCCTGAGGTTATAAAGCACATTTAAAGCCTTCAGACTGGAAGGTGTGGAGAACAGTCCTTTGGGGGGCAGAGGAGACTTGGAGCGCTCACTGCCAATGTTCTCCCCGCAAGGCATTTATTGAAACCAGCCGGACCCCCACCCCCCACAAAGAGGGCTTCTGTCTGGCCGGCACATGCACACACACCCCCTTTGCTTTCTCAATGTCCATTCAAGATTGCCCAGGTCCCCACAGGTGTGCAGTCTGCCCTCTGTACCCCAGTAATTTCTTTCTTTTTTAAAAAAATGATACAGGAAGGAAAAAAGAAAGAGAAAACACAAATACCAAATTACACACAGGAATAACCAGACACATAATTTTCTTAACAAACAATAAAACATAAATTGGTCTTAACACTAAAGACCCAACCTCCCGTCTATTCCATATTCGATTTCATATTACTTATTGCCAATACACACTTTTATCATAATTAAACTTTTTCTTAATATATCTAATTTCTTATATCTACCTTGCAACTATTACTGAAGTTCCTCGAATGCTGCAACAGAATTTAAACTGCACCCCAGTAATTTCATGCGCCATGTGCCTGGTCCTCCAGAACCACTCCCTCCAAAGGGGTGGCTGTTTGGCCTTCCTTTCGGACCCTGCCAGGTGACTCCGTGTGGTCTCTCCTCCTCCTCCTCCTCTTCAGGAAAACAGATCCACATCCCGTGCGAGGGCTACACAGATTACGAAGACAGCGGCGTCATGTACTGGCTGGCCAACGGCCAGTTTGTGTCGGAATTGTACCCAGGTGGAGAAGTGAGCGAGGGGCGCACTGAGTGAGTAAACCCTGCGGTTTCCGGGGGACCCGGCAGTCGGTCCATTTCACTGCAAGGGGTTGGGCTAGATGGGCCTTGGGATTCCCCCCCCCGCAAAAAAAACCCCTGCAGCTCTATGGTTCTGAAATGTCAGAGCACCTGCCTTGCATGCAGAAGGTGCCAAGTTCAGTCCCTAGTGGCAGCCCCTCCAGGGAGGGCTGGAAACACCTTCCCTTCTGACCCCGTGGAGAGCGACTGCTGCTGGTCGGAGGAGCTCGATGGAGCAGCTGCCTGACTCGCCTTGAAGACAGCCTCTCATGGACGGAAAGTCGGGGAAATGGTCTTCCATGGTTTCCCCATGAGCCCAACTCTCAGGGGCCATGAGGAGGAGAGGCTTTGCTCGGGGTCCAGCCTTTCCATGTGGCACCTGCAGCTTTCAGAGGACCGGCCTCTGCTGTTGCACCTGGCCACGTTCAAGGTGGTCCAATTATCAACGGCTACCAGCCACAATGAAGGGATGCGGGTGGCGCTGTGGGTTAAACCACAGAGCTGATCAGAAGGTTGCGGTTCGAATCCCGCGACGGGGTGAGCTCCCGTTGCTCAGTCCCTGCTCCTGCCAACCTAGCACTTCGAAAGCACGTCAAAGGGCAAGTAGATAAATAGGTACCACTCCGGCAGGAAGGTAAACGGAGTTTCCGTGCGCTGCTCTGGTTCGCCAGAAGCGGCTTAGTCATGCTGGCAACATGACCCGGAAGCTGTACTCCGGCTCCCTCGGCCAATAAAGCGAGATGAGCGCCGCAACCCCAGAGTCGGTCACGACTGGACCTAATGGTCAGGGGTCCCTTTACCTTTACCAGCCACAATGGCTATTGCTCTGTCTACACAGCTGGAGGTAGCGATACTTCTGGGCACTAGTTGTTGGAAACTATGGGAGGGGAGTGGCTCTTGGGCTCGGATCCTGTTCACTGGCTTCCCACGGACATCTGCTCAGTCACTTTGAGATAAAAGGGTTGGGCTAGGTGGCCCACTGGCCTCACTCTGCAGACTCTCCTTATGTTCTTAGGTGTATACGAAGCCCATAATAACTTGGGACCAGTTACTTGCAAGATCACCTTACCCCACATAGAATCAGAGTTGGGACCCCCGAGGGACATCTAGTCCAACCTCCATCCATGCAGGAATCTCAACTAAAGCATCCAGGTGCCCGCTTGACTGCGTCGATCTGTGGAACTCCCTGCCTATTGATGCCAGGCAGAGATGTGCTCTTTTGGGCCTCTGCAGAAAAACCCAGAATGTTTAGAACGCCCTTGTGTTTTTAGGTCATTGCTGGCTTTAAACTTTTCCCAACAATTTAAAGTTTTTGCTAATAATCTCGCCATGTTGCTCTTTTCGTCAGCCTCTGAGACTTTTCCAGAACCAAGCAGTGTATAAATCTCATGCAACCAACACTAAATAAAGGCACACACTTTCCCCATCTCGTTCTCCCCGAAGGTCCGCTGTCCCCCTTCCAACTTATTTTCTGCCTTTTTCTCTTCCACACCCCAGGGAGAAAGCCAAGGGCGTTGGCCTGTCCCTGAAACGGGAGCTGATCATCAACACCTTCACAAAGAAGATACAGAACACAAGATTTGAATGCATCATCCTCGATCCAGCAGGTGCAGCGCGAAAGGCTGTCGCCTGGAAGCCGAAACCGCGTTTCAGGAATCAGCCTGGCAAAGTCCCAGAGCAGATCGGCAGCAGCAGCGCCTAAGGACTTTTGAACAAGAGCTTCGGAGGTAAACAGGCAGCTCCCCTAAACTCTCTGCACCTTCCAATTGCTTGTGTGCAAGAATTGTGAGCGCGAGGTCCAAGCGGAAGAACCTTGTTGCAGCAAGGAGCATGCATTATGCGAAAGTGTTTGCTGGGCACTCACAGCAACGCTGTCCCCAGGCTTTCCAGCTGTAAAGGTCTTTAAGCAGATGACCACCTGTCAGAGATACTTTAGCTGAGATTCCTGCACTGCTGGGGCTAGGACTAGATGGCCCCTGGCAGACCCTTCCCACTCTACAATTCTAAATGCAAAACAGGTTTTGTCATCTCGTTAAGGTGGCAGCGGCTCAGGGTCCCCCTTCGCCCTGCGACTCGAAAACGGCAAGGCCCCACCTTTGTGCCTGTTTGTGGGCGATTCTGAGAGAGATGCTTTCCAGCAAAGAGGCAGCTGCAATTGTTTGCAGTCCCAGGTGGGGCAGCAGAGCTTTCTCCGACAAGATATGAGACAGTTACGCCAGCACTGCGTTGATCTTGCACTCCTCTGACGCTCTGCATTGTACTGACACAGGCCTACAGCCTGACATTGTGGCCTCATTATTTCCCAAATAAATATACCACTTGTTAAAAAAATACCCACAAAGTGGTTTCCATGCGTACGTGTGTGTGTCGTGTCGTGTCGTGTCGTGTGTGTGTGTGTGTGTGTGTGTGAGAGAGAGAGAGAGAGAGAGAGAGAGAGAGAAGGCACCCAATGGGTCATTTTAGCCCCTGCAACCTATTTTTCTTCCTTTATGTGTACAGTGGTACCTTGGTTCCCAAACAGCTTGGCTCCCGAACAAATCAGCTCTTGAACGCCGCAAACTCATGTGAGTGTTCTGGTTTGCTAACTAGAAGTTGACACGTCTGACACGGCTTCCAACTGAGTGCAGGAAGCTCCTGCAACCAATCGGAAGTGGCGCCTTGCTCTTCGAACTGTTTCATGAGTCAAACGGACTCCCGGAACAGATTAAGTTTGAGAACCAAGGTACCACTGTACAACGGTATAATAGCCAGGCTTCCCCAACCTGGTGCCCTCCAGACGTTTTGAACTGCAACTCCCATCAGCCCCGTGTTGGGGGAAAGCTTGCTTTGTAGGGAGAGGAGAAATTGCCTCCTCCCTACATCTGACGAGGTGGGCTCACGCCTGTGGCATCTTGTGCTACATACAGAAGCTGCTCTGAAAACCAACCCTCTTTCTGTATTTCGCTGTTCCACAGGGACACAAGAGGCAGGAGGGCAGCAGTGCAGCACAGCAGCCGAGGGATGGGAGAAGAGCAGGCGTCGTGGCTGCTGGGCAACCAACTTCCGGTTGCTTCTGCTCTCCGTTGGGTCACACAGCCTCTCTCTCTGCTCCAGGCAGCACCCCCTCTGCCAGCTCCAGCCACCCACTCCCGAGGAAGGAAGGAGACTCATTCCTCAAGGAAGAAGGAAAACAAGCGGGACATCGAGGGTGTGGGAAAGGTAGCAAAATTCCTGGAGGATTTTAAACCTGACCCATATAGCTCCAAGCAGCACGTAGAACTGTGTTAAATAAAAGCTAGAGGTATCCTCTTTATGTTCCAGCTTGAACAAGTGGACGGCTGCCGCTGGTTTTTCCTGCTGCCTTCATCGTCTCACCTCCACTCCCAGGAGGAGCCTGAAATAAGACACTTTTAAGTAGCATCGCATCCCAAGCTCCTTCCCCTGGTGGAGGATGTGCCCCGTCACTGAGCGAAGGTCCTCTTTGGACAGCAGATATGCACAGGCTTAATTCATATGTGAAATGCTGTTCTCGCTGGCTTCCAGTCTGGGGGCCGGGCCCATCGCACAGGGCTAGTTTGGTCTTAGAAAGATGTAGGAGTCGGGGACAAGGAAGCTCCATGTTCTCCCTTGCACCAGGGTCCTCCTCTCAGGTCTTGCTCCTGCAAAACTGTGCAGCGCCTTCCCTGGAAAGAGGCCTTTGGACCACAAAACAGACAGGTGGTGGTAGGTGTACCTGTCGCAGGTGTTTGTGTCTACTTCAGCCTGACTTTGGGGTGGGAATTGTCCTGGCTACCCTGCTGGACAACCTGGATGAGGCAAGGAATGGAGAACCCTCTTGGCTCTCAGCAACTTTAAGAGGCCACAAGATCCTACTGGGTCATTCATGTGGGGAGGGGTGGCAAAGGGCTCTGTCCCACTGTCGGGGGTCAGGCAGGCCCCAGGTGGTGGGGCAGAGCAGCTCTGCTCTTGTGGGGGGCAGTGCACTGTGCTATAGGGCCTTGCAGAGTCCCGTCCTGGCTCATGTGCTTTTTGAATACAGTGGTACCTCAGGTTACAGACGCTTCAGGTTACAGACTCCGCTAACCCAGAAATAGTACCTCGGGTTAAGAACTTTGCTTCAGGATGAGAACAGAAATTGCGCAGCGGCAACGCGGCAGGCCCCATTAGCTAAAGTGGTGCTTCAGGTTAAGAACAGTTTCAGGTTAAGAATGGACCTCCAGAACAAATTAAGTTCTTAACCCGAGGTACCACTGTACTCGCACATAGCTGCCTGGAGAGGCTGGCTAGGTCCACCACCTGATGACCCACAACTCTGCCTTCTGCTTCCTTCTGCCATCAGGTCTGGCTGGGCCTTCTACGAAGGACTGCCTCAGAGGAGCAAGGGAGAAGGGTGAATTAACAGAAACTAAACCTTGAGAAGCGACACTGGTCTGGAGAGGCGAAGTGTACTTTCTCTTGATAAAAACATAGAGAGTCCTGAGGGATCAGGCCAGGCCCTCCCATGTCCCTCCGGGGCCAACAAAAGCCACCTAGGAAAGCAATAGGACCTTCAGCCTTTTGGGGCCTTTTGCATCCCACCATTTGACCATCAGGCAGTGACTGAGAACATTACAGGAAGTTGGGCTAGATGCCCCTTTGGGTCCTTTCCAACTCTACAATTCTGTTTTAAAACGTACCTAAAGCTGACTGGCACACACAGAATTCCACTGCCCTCACTATGCAGCCGCCACTGACTGCAGCCCTTCTCAGCGCACCTTGTTACTCAGTTGAAAACCAAGTCCATGCCATTATCCACCACGCTCCAAGTATCTCCCCCCCCCCCCCAAATGTGGCTGCTGCCTGTCCCCAGTGAATGGCCAGGGCTGCTCCTCTTGCTGCAGGACAGCACTTTCCTGGGGGAGGCTGCACTATTTTAATGCCCCAGAAGGAAGGGGCTGTTCTGCCTCAGGTGTGGGTAGGTTTGGAACAGGACTTGCTCAGCAGGGACACTGGCGGACTCTGTCCTGTGCCAAAGTTTTCAATAAAAGCCACCTTTAAAGGGTTTGGGGGAATGGATCTTCGTGGAAACTCAAAAGCATTGAGAGAAAATGCACTTTGTCCAAAAAGCTCAGAGGCAGCTCCTCGTACCTCTCGGCCCTAACGCCCTGATCTTAGACCGAAAGCCACTTTCTGGGCTGTGCCCTCCCTCCGCTACACTCAAAGCAAGAGGAAACATCGCCAAGCCACTGTTTTTTGGGAGAAAAATACCATTTATTTACAAGTAGAAACATTATTTAAAATGACACATTTGATTGCTAATTTCTCTACAAAGGCGAGTATTAGAGGGCTGCGAGTGGTGGCGGTGGGGGCACCCTCAGGCAGTGTCTGCCCCCCCAGTCCAGGAAACAGCTCACCAGGGAGATCCAGCGGGCATCTCCTGAGGGCCAAGCCCCGCTATGGGACGCTTGCCCACGGAAGGGAACCAAAGCGGGGGCCTTTGCACAGCTCCTGTGCACTCTGATGGAGCATCTGCAGGAAAAGGTCCGGCCAGATTGTGCCCCCAAGATCCACGCGTGGGCACCGACCCCACTGCTGCCCCGGCACAGCCACGCATCCCTCCGCCCCCTTTTCAGGAGGGACACTGCAGTGAGGCCTCCCCCCTGCCCCACTCCATGCCAGTGCCTACAGAGTACAATACAAAGCAAGACAGCTAAGTAAAGCCTGCGGAATAAGGGGAGGGTGAGAATGCACAGCCTGTACATAATGGAGCTTTCTCCTCCTCCTCCTCCTCCTCCAGCCCAGCCACCAGCGAGGGGCCCTTCAGACAGCTGGTGCTCCCACCTCCTCCAGGGAATGATTCCTCCTGCTGCCAGGCTCAAGGGATTTATTTTTTAACACCCCCTTGCACAAAAACCACCCCAGCTCCCAAAGGATTTCTCACATCACCAGGAAGCAGGCACATGACTCTATGACAACCAGGGCAAAGTTTTCCACAGGAGAGAAATGTGTTTCCCCCCCACTGCTTCTGGTAATGAGTAAGCGACTAGTCCTCAACGTCTGACAGAAGCTTCCAACCCCAATTCTCTAGTCTGTTGGCCCTTGCTTTACAATTGTTTTGGTGTTTTTTTTAAAGAACCAAGGATGCTGGGAAGAGGGTCGCCTTGCAAGTGGAAAGGAGAGCCGGGTGGGGAAAACATCTCCGATGTCTGTGCCTTGGGCAGTTCACTGCGCCAATGAGGCAAGCAGAGAGAGCCCGCCCTTACTCAGCGTGAAAGGGAGGGAGCATTCGTCGGGGGGTCAGGAGAGGGGGACCTAGCTTCTCAATAGGAGGTGCCACTCTGGGTGCTTAAGGGGGTGTGTGTTGCATTGGCAAAGGTGATCAACATTATGACACTGCCTCCCTGGGAGTGTAAAATACTGCCAGCCTAGTCCTCCTTTGCCAAGCAATTCCTGATTCCTGCCTGATGGAACAGTGGCTGGTATTAAGGGCCAGACCCTGGAATGGTTTGGAGACTGTCCCGTCCCCCTCGACACACCATCATCACAGAGGGGAAAGCCCCCCCCCCAATGTCTCAGCCAAGGAGGCTCACCACCCACCATCATGTGGAAACCAGGGGGCGGGGGAAGAGTCCGTGCACCAGTTGGCATCCTGACCAAAAGGCTGGGGATGGGCTCTCAGGCCACGTCAGAGCTGGGAGGGAAGACCAGGAGGGGGAGGAAGGCTGCTGGCGGCTCAGCTGGTAGCAGAGACTGGGAGGCCCTGGCACCTGGCTCCCTTCCTTCTGGGGAGATGCGGCAGGCGGGGGAGTTTTCGGCCAGGAAAAACGGTGTTAGAACTTGCTGTTCCTCGTGGACTTGGAGTTCGCCTGCAGGAAGGGAAAAAGAAGACAGGAGTTGGGTAGGCCCAATGGGATGTTAGAAGCTCAAAAGGCAGAAGGATCTAATTCGGACCCCCACCCCACTGTTTCGACAATCCTCTGGGATTTTCTCCTGTACAAGCCCCACCGAACGAAGGGCAGCTGTGGGCAGAGCTCTCGTGCCAACCCCACTGCCCTCCTGCTGGTTTGAGCCACACTTAGTGCCCCATGGGGACAATCCCCCTCCCAGCGTGCCACCTTCAAGGGCACCAAAGGCTGCTGCCTGAGGAAGCTGCCTTGCTTTGCCACACCTCTTAATTGGAAGCCCAGAGAGGACAAAAAAGATGAAGAGCTGCGGCTTCATTCCCCCACCCCGCCCCTCAGATTTGATAAACCCAAGCTGAACTCTGCAGTCTTATGAGAACGACAAGCGACTCTCATCACTCTTCTGCATGGCAGCAAATCAGGAAGAAGACAGCAGGCGAGGTCGGCCCGTTGGGCAAGGGCAGAGTCCCACACCCAGGAGAGGTGCTGCAAAACCCAGAAACCACACACCACCAGTGGGAGGGGAGGGCAGCCCAAGGGGAGGTCCGTGCTGCCCCTGGTGTGACCCAGCCAGAAGAGGTTCCATACAGGCCTGGTCGCACTGCACAAGGAGAGGCCAGCCTGCTCTGGCAGCCCTTGAGACCTGAAGGAGCAAAAGGATGGGGAGTCAGGCCTGGCAGGTGGGGGGGCCCGGCCCTACGACTGAGCAATGGACTTGTTCAACTCCCACAGGCATCTGGTCAGCCTGCGAGAAGAGGATGGTGGACTAGATGGGCCATTGGCCTGATCCAGCAGCCTCTTCCGGTGTTCTCTTGCTGGCAAACCGCTTTCTGTACTCCAAGGAGTCCCAGACCCATGGCGTTTCCCAGCCCTCTTCTCTCTCTATTAGCTCCACCAGACTATATATCTAAATACACTAAAATGCAGGCTCACATTCCAGGCAAATCTCTCTCCTGCCCATGCTTGCTCCAAGGGGATGCTGGGAGCGAGAGACTCATGGGGAGGCCCCATCTCCCTCCTACCTTGCCCTTAGGTGATGACGCTGCCCTCGGGGATCTCCGGCTGCTGCTCCGGGGGGAGCTTTTGGGAGTCACTTTGCGGTTGGGCCCCCGGCGCAGGAGGCTGTTGCCCAGCTTCTTCGGAGTGTTCAGAATGCTGAAGGCCATCGACTGGCGCCTGTTGGGCTGCAGGGAAAGAGGAAGGAGTCAGGAGAATCAGGAGACCTCAGCAGCTCTTCTGTGCTCTCTCATCCCCACGGCAAGGGAACTCAAGAGAAGAGTTAGCATTCCTTGGCATACCGCCTCCTCCACCCCGTTCATTATAATCACTGCAGAGAAGCACCAGGCCCACGTCTGAAGCTAGGGAGAGATTGAGTTTGTGTGTGTGGTAGTCTGGTGTTTGTGTCTAGATAGGCAGAAAGGAGAGATCATACTTTGTAGAACCATAGAACTGTAAAGCTGGAAGGGACCCCAAGCTCCTGCAACACAGGAATCACAGCTAAAGAATCCCTGACAGGTGTGTGAGAATTCCTGCTCCTGGATTGCAGTCATGGGATTGTTGTCTTTCACATGACGGTATATGTTTTGACTCCACAGAGTGGGAAGTGACGGAGACAGGATGTTTGTGTTACTGCGTCATCCAACCTTTGTTTAAAAACTTCCCTGCCTGAGTAGGGGTGGTCTCGCAGCCTGCTCTGCTTCAGCAATGCCACAGCCTCAGAGGCCCCCTGTGCCCTGCTCTGGCAGCCCGATGGAAGAGCAAGAGGCTCCCTTACCTGCTTGTTGGCTGCCTGGGCTTTGTCCTTCTTGCTTCCCGCATGGGTGCTGTGCTTGTGCTCCTCGCTCCGCAGTTTGGGAGTCTGGGGCCGTGGGAAGCAGCTGGCAGATTTCTTGGACTGAACGGAGAAAAGGGGTGTGTGGAGGAGAGATTAGTTGGGGCCTGATGCGACTGAGCAAAAGACAACGGTGCCTTTCATCTCCCCGCCAAGGTGGGCAGCTGAGAAATGGGGGAGCATGAGATGTCGCTGGACTGCAACTCCCAGCGACCACAGCCAGCCACACCCAACGCTCAGGGATGATGGGAGCTGCAATCCCAGAGGGACTGAAGACACAGGCAAACTTGCCCCATTACACCCTGGGCCTACCCAATACCCCCATAATAACCCTCCCCCATATCCCCACCCCGCCCAGCTTGAAAGGGGTTCAGGCCAGCTGAATGTGCCGCAGAGCCACTGCCACTCACCTCGGGGGTCCCTGCAGCCTGGTGGGATTCATCTGAAATGCGCTTCCTCTGCTGCCGAGTGGCAATGCCCCCCGCGGCCGACGCGGAGCTCAGGGTGCTGCGACGGGTGGCTGGGCCGCTCGGAAACCTGGGAGGGCAGCATGCTGGCACGGCGGGAGGGTCTCTCTGGGGTCCCCCGTCTTCATATCCTCATCTGTGATGGTGGCCAGTGACAGGGATGGCTGGCAGGGTGGAGAGAGGAGAAGTGCGGTCATCAGACGAAGGCTCTTTGTGTGCACACGCACACCAGGCTGAGCCTACTGCAAAAGTGGAAACAGCCCCCAAAACGCACTGGGGGAGGAAGTTCCCCAGGCGTCTATTGACCAGGGACTGAGCAAGATTTACATGCACAAACACACAAATGAGGGACTGGCACCCCTGCTTGCTCCGCTCACCAACCCTGTCTATGCACCCCTTTTACACTCTTCCCAAACCCCTCCCTCCCCTCCCCCCTAGAGCACATAAATATGCATAGCCCTAAAGGGCCATGTTGCATATAGTCACATAAATATGCACTAGCCCTCAAAGGGCCATGTTTTTTTTGGGGGGTGGAATCCAACCCACTAACTTGATCTCCATTGCAGAATCCAATTTTCCGTTCGCAGAATTCTCCTGGCGTTGACTAAATCAGCAGCAGGAGCAGGCATCACATCCCCACCCCCTGCCCTCCCTGGCCTTAAAAACATATCGCTAGCTGCCGTGGGAGTCAGGACTAGCTGGCCCTTTGGCGACACTCACCCGAGACTCCAGGGGTAGCAGGTCTTCAGGTGAGGTGGGCAGATCCTGTTGCGCTGCTGGAGCTCAGCGATGCGGCTCCATTCGTCAAGCACTTCCGGCTCCTCCTGGCAGGTGCCCATGTAGAAGCTGCTGCGCCCTGAGAAGGGGGGGGGGGGGAGAGACAGGGGAGGGTTTCGGCTGCTCACTTCCTAGGTTGCATCACCAGCCACACAGAAGGGAGGAACCCCAAGTGGCTCTCCGCAAGATAATCGACAACAGTGATCCCAATCAAGGAAGGAGGTGGCAAGGAGATTCCTCTGCCCCCCCCTAATTCATGGGGACGAAGAGGAAAGAGGGCAAAACAGAGCACCCCATGCACAGTTAACTGAGCCAGCCTTTCTCAACTGCAAAAGAACATTCAGAAGAACCCTGCTGGTACAGGCAACTGGCATTCGGAAGCCTTGCTTCCCCTAATTGTGGAGGGAGAGCAGGGCCACTGACAGCCCTTCTCCTCCGTGAATGTGTCCAATCTTATTTTAAAGTCATTCAAGTTGGTAGCTCTCACTGCCTCCTGCAGAAGTGAGTTCCACAGATTAATTATGCACTGCGTGAAGAAGCCCTTCCTTTTATCCATCCTGGCTCTCCCGTGTCCCCCCTCTGCTGGCTGGTCTATGCATGGCCATTCCAGGCCTTGCGAGGGCTGTCTACGAGATGCTTTTGAGAAGGGAGGAGCCAAGCAGTGCCACCTTCACATTCATGCCATCACCGGCCACAAACAGTCATGGAGCAGGCAGTCTGCTAACAGGCTCCGGGGGAGGAAGTCTCACTCGGGAAGACTCACACCAAGGAGCAAAGCAGCAAGGGAAAGCTAAGAAATGCCCAAGGGGAAAGGTCATCACCTCTCTCTCTCTCTCTCTCTCTCTCTCTCTCTCTCTCTCACACACACACACACACACACACACACACACACGGCTCTCCTGACACACACCTCAATATCTTTAAAAATCTTTTACATTTTATTATGTTTTTATATGTGTTGGAAGCTGCCCAGAGTAGATGGATATAAATAATAAAACTGCTGCTGCTGCTACTACTCATACTACTACTACTACTACTGTTATTATTATTAGCCTGCCACTGACTGTCAGGCATGGTGGACTAATGGTGGCGGGCAGAGAGAATGTAGCCAGCAGGAAAACCTTCTGAAGGCAGCCCTGTTTAAGGAAGTTTTCTTTTAATGAATGATGTTTTAATGTATTTTTAAACTCCTGTTGGAAACCGCCCAGAGTGGCCGGGGAGACTCAGCCAGATGGGCGGGGTATAAGTAATAAATTACTATTATTATATTATTCTGAGGGCAAGAGTTGTCTGTCCATGGAACAGACCCCCTCGGAAGGTGGTGGGCTCTCCTTATTGGAGGCTCATAAACAGAGGTGGGACTCTTTAGCTGTGATTCCTGCTGTGCAGTGGGTGGACTAGAAGACCCCTGGGATCCCTTCAAACATATTCTCTGATTCTGTGTATATCAGAAGCTCTAGAACAGCCTTTGCCCAGCTTCTTCTGCTCCTCCAGATGCTTTGGACTACGACTCTAGAGGGCCCCACCAAGGTGAAGGCTGCCCCAGTCCTGCCGCCGCAACCCCCAGCACTCACCAGAGCTGGCCCCTCCGGCCTGGGAGCGTCTCAGGGAGCTGCGGGTGGCAGGCCGATAGCCGGGCAGGCTCATCAAGGCCGTGTTGTTGGGTGAAGAGGTGCCCAGCCTGGTGAGGGATTCCTGAGAGGGGAGGCTGGCGAGGGAGCGGGTGGAGGAAGCGGATGCGGAACGCAGGCGCGTCTTGACCGGCTCTTGGCTCGAGCTGCTGCTCTGAGACCCAGCGGACTGCATGCTGAGGAAAGAGGCGTCAGCACTCTGGGGAGTTTCCGGCTCTGCGTGTTTCTGTGTAGAAGCACAAGGAGGAGGAAGAGGAGGGTGAGTATAAAGAGGAGCTGCTGGTGCTGCTTAACTCTGCCCCCACCCGCCAAGCTGCTCCTCTCCACCTCCATCACACCAGACAGAATATTAGACGCCTCTGCCCTGTCTTCCCCTATCTCTTACTTGGCTTTCCTGTAAGCTAACAAGTGCCAAACACTGCATTCTTTCTTCACTCGAGAGTTGCTCCAAACCCTAGATTATTTTTGATGCCCTTTTCTGAACCTTTTCCAGCTCTACAATATCCTTTCTGAGGCCCTGTACACAGCATCCCAAATGAGGTTGCACCACAGGTTTGTATAATGGCATTATGGCACCGGCAGTTTTATTTCCAATTCCTTTCCTATGAATCCCTAGCAATTACCAACTGCCACACACCTGGTCCACACCTTCATCAAGCTATCCACTATGACCCCAAGGTCTCGTTCATGACCGCTGTCAACTCTGACCCCACGAGAGCGTAGGTGAAGCTCGTGTTTTTTGCCTTGACATGCACCATTTTACACTCAATTACACGGAAGTGCATTTGCCACTTGACTGCCCATTTACCCCACTTGGAGAGCTTGTCTTGGAGCTCTTCCAAATCCCTGAACCATTTGGCAACTCGGATTCATCACTCCTTGTTCTAGTAAACCACCTCAAGAGGGCAGCTCCCGTCTCTCCTGAATCCACCGCTAACAGCAGGGGTCGCCTGCTAGCCCCCCCACCCAGGAAATCAGGCTGCTAAAAGTGTATGACGGACCTGGCTACGGAGGATGCACATTTGAGCAGCCCTGGATGCCACCTATCTCCACAGCCACCATCACCACACCTTGGCTCCCATCCCTAGGTGGCCCCCACATTACTTTGATCATGGTGATGTTGATGACCTGTGTGGTGCGCCGGCGGCCAGAGAGTGTTTTCCGCCCCGACTCAAAGGAAACGTCGCCCGTGGAGTTAACGCTGTTCTCCAGTTTGGACCTCGTGCGGGTGGGGATGGGCGTGAAATAGAGGCTCTCCAGAGACTCCACCTTCCGAGGCAGGCGGTTGGAAGCCTTGGACGGCTCTGCTGTCCCAGATTCAGAGGTGGAACGGCGAGACCTCCTGCTGTGAAGAGAGATTGGGGGGGGGGATCATGAAACTGGCAGGGAGGCCACAACCACAGAACCCTCTCTTCACATTCCCAGGAACAAGGAAGCTGAGAAGTCTTCATAAAACAATTCAAAGTGTTGGTGCTGACCTTTAAAGCCCTAAACGGCCTCAGCCCAAAATACCTGAAGGAGCGTCTCCTCCGAGGGACTTCTGGTGGTTCCCTCACTGAGAGAAGTGAAGTTACAGGGAACCAGGCCGAGGGCTTTCTCAGTAGTGGCACCCGCACTGTGGAACGCCCTCCCTTCATGAGATGTCAAGGAAATAAACAACTATCTGACTTTTAGAAATGTTTAATGTCTGATGTTTTACTACTGTGTTTGATGTCTTAATGTGTTGGAAGCAGCCCAAAGTGGCTGGGGCAACCCAGTCAGTTGGGTGGCGGATAAAATTAACAACAACACCAACACCAACAACACCCCATGTCTCCAAAGTTGCTTCAGTGTCAGGCCTGCCAAATGAAGGACCCTGCGAGTCCTTCACCCTTGGGGAAACATGCATTGGTCCTAGAGCTGCAAGGGTGGGAAACCTCTGCTCTATGGCCGATCAAAGAGCTAAGGAGGAGGAGGAGGAGGAAAGAAATCTGGCACGGAAGCTGAGCTGCTCTGCTGCAGCCGCCTGCTTGCCTTCTAAGCTGGGGGCCAGTACCTGGTGGAGTTGAGCGGCTGTGCTTCATCGCTGGTGCTCATGTCCAGGCTGTCAGTGCTGACGTCGGCTGGGCTTTCCTGGAAGGTGATGCGGCTTTTTAATGAATCTGTGGCCAGCTGGAACTTGCCCTGCTCTCGCAGCTGGCGATCTGCAAACTCCACCTGCGTTTGGGTTGGTTAACGGTAAGGGGCAGGGTGCCACGAGCAAGCCGCGCACCAAGGAAGTCAAGAGACCCGCTAGAACCAAAAGGGCTAATTAAATGTTTATTTGCATGCATCTACGTAAGAACTGGGCCAAGTCCACCTCACTTCAGTTGCAGGTAAATATGTTGCTATATATACACTAAGCATGGGAACCCATGGATCTCCAGAGGTTGCTGGACTCCAGCGCCCATCACCCCTGGTCCCTTGGCTTCCTGGCTAGAGCAGGAGGGAGTTGGAGCCCAGCAACACCTGCAAGGGCCACATGTTCCCCATCCCTGGGGTACAGAAAACCCTAGGGACCCCACAGATCCTTCCTGCAAGAGGAAATGCATAGATGGGGGGGCAGGGCCTGGAATGGAAATGACTGGGCCCTGCTGTGGACACGCACCCTGCCTCCTCAGCCACCGCCCCTCGGCCCTACCTGTGCCTCGAGGCTGCAGAGGTTCTTGGAGGTGAGCTGGGCCTCCTGCATCTGCCTCACCAAATCCTGCTGCTCCTTCATAAGGCGCTCCGATTTGGCCTTCAGCTCCGCGTTCTCCCTCTCCACCTCTTCCAGGACTCCCAGCCTCTCGAGCAGCTCCTGGTTTTGTTGCTTCTTTGCGTCGTAGTGGGTCTTGGCCTTCTCCATCTGAGGGGCGAGGAAAAGTGAGGCAACCGTCAAGCGCAACACCTGCCAGTCTTGAGGCAATTTCCTGCAAAGCCGGGACATCGGAAGCCAAGGCTGGTGCTTCCTTAAGAGACCCTTGCTCAGCCTTGTGCAACGTCACAAAGTGTACTTACCCTCCACACACCCACATTTGCAAACCTCATCATGCAGGTCTTATATGCCAGTCTGTTCAACAGCTGCCATTTTTGTAAGCTATGGAATTTTGAGGCCTATAATGGCAGAACTTCTTTTCTTAGTACTTGCCTTAACTGTGACTGTTTAATACAGGGTAGAAGCCAGGGTGATGGTTCTCTTCCCTCCCACCCCACACTTCTGCCCCAGAGGGAACCAGCTCCCCCTTTTCTACCTGTGTCTTGTAATGCTCAGCAGCTTGTTCCTTCTGGGCCACTTGAGACTGGAGATCCAAGATCTTCTCATTCTGGTGTTTAAGTTCTTCTTCATGCACCTGCTGAGGAGAGACCCAGATATTCCCTTACAGTGCCAGAGAGGGTAATTGTTTTCTTTCTTCCCCATGACTCTTGCACCAGCTGAGTGAGGTTGCTCAGTAGACTTACAAGGGTCCTTTCCACCCCTTGTCTTTGAAAAGCTGGCATCGGTGAAAACTAAATAGCTTTAATGGGATTTTGGGGGGAAATGCAATTAACTGTTACTGTTTCACATTTCTTGTTATTATCTTCCCTGATTCCCCTTGACCTCGATTGCAGGGGATTAGACTAGTGGGTCATGCAAGCCACTATTCTGAATGCTTTTTATAGGGTGGGGTGGGGATCTGGGGATGGATTTATGAAGCCAATGGGACAGTGCCCCCCAAAGGCTTGGGAACCTCTGCACTAGGAGAACTCTCTCCAGGCTCCTTCCCTGGAAGCTCACCTGGGCTCTCTGCTGCTGGGCTTGAGTGACCTTCTCCTGCTGAGCGTACTTCTGCTTCAGCTCCTCCAGCTGGAAAGGAAAGGGGGGGGTAGAAGAGAGAGAGAATAGTTACTCCAACCCCTCCCCCTCCTGCTCAAAGCGCTGTTCAGCCACTCCCTCCTGGTTCTTTGAGGCTCTGTACCCCATGGCTCTGCACAGAGCCACCCATTCTGCAATCTCTGTCCCCCTCCTAAACCTGCTGTACTGGCCTAGAAAAGGACTGGCTGGCAGGAGGCCAAGGAAGTCTCCCCCTTTTACCAAAAGCTGTGACTCCTGCATTGCAGCAGATTGGACTAGATGACCCTTTGGGGTCTATGATTCTATGAGCAAGACATCAGAGAGTCACAGTTTAGGACATCTCAGGACTGACCACTTTATCCAGTTTGGGGGTTGGAAGGAGGAATCTGGCGCTGTCTATGTTACTCAGCTTGGCCCCTTCAGCATCAAACACTTCTCTAGTAAGTCAAGCCCCGTGAGAAAGAAAGAAAGAGGGGGGAGGGCCAAGTTCTGCACCTGGTAAAAGCAACACTAATAGGTCACTGAATGTGTTTTTGGATAACGACTCTGATTGCTAGGAGGAAAACAGCTGTGAGGCCCCAATTCAATGCAAGCACTGCTCAGCCTCCCTGAGACTGAGGGCATTTCCCCCAGAACTACACACCTTTTTCAAGCTTCTTTTTGCAACCATGATGCCATGGTCTGAATTCTGTCAAATGCCACAGACCCTCAAGAGTTACTCAAGAGGAACACAGAAAGAACTGCATGCAGCAGGCCAGAGTCCTCTATGCCTGGAAGCACATTCCAGGCATACCCACATTCCAGGCACACCCTCCGACAGGTTCCCTTTCACCCAGGAAGCATCACTGTCACTGGAGCCCCTGTCCTAAACATTCTGCCCCTGCAAAAGCTTCCTGGAAGCAACAGCAGCAGCAGCGAGCGCGCCAGAGCAGCCTCCAACCCTCCACCGACACGTCTATGCTGCGCAAACACCGCATTCCAGTTGCAGGGTTGGGTCAGTGGGCTTCAGAGCAGAAATGGTGCATGGGGGTTAGCAGCTTCCCAGGAAGAGCAGCTCTCTACAAGCAGAAGAGCTGGAGTGTGCTGCAAGCAGATGCTCTGACATGCGATGCTGGAAGTTAATTAGTCACACCCACCGTCCTGCATTTCCCACCTCCAGGTCTCCCCAGCAACCCCAAAGCAGGGTCTCCATTGCCAACTGTTTGCCTCTCGTGCACTTGGGGGTAAGGGAGCATCAGGGATCCACGGAAACGTTGAAGGTTAGAATCCAAGAGGGTTTCTGAAGTGGAGGGGGCCGTTTCAGGGGATTCTAGTTTAAGCTGGTTTGCTCTTAATGAAGGGTTTTAAAACACAGGGGTGAGTGGTGGACTTGTCTTCAGGTGCAACCATGCTTGCAGATGGCTAAGAGAGGTGGTGGTGCTTTTAGCTCCTGGTAACCCTGAAGGTTAGAGGGCTGGCCCCCCCTGCGTTGCAGACCCTGCACTCTGCCTGGAGCTCAAGGTCTCCCCTCCCGAGAGCGGTATCATTCACAGAGATTCTCTCCTATACCAAAGGAAAATACAGGAAGGAGATGGGGAAGACAGAATGCCAAAAGATGCAGCAGCTGGAGCGGGAAAGGACCCCGGAGATCATCAAGTTCTACTCTCTGCTGCCCAAGGCATAGGGCACCTCTGGCTTCATATGGCTACTCCCCTCTTGGCGCAGTCGAGTCTTAAAAAGTGGTGCTCCAGATGCAGGTAAAGGTAGGCAAAGAACCCCTGGATGGTTAAGTCCAGTCAAAGGTGACTATGGGGTTGCGGCTCTCATCTCACTTTCAGGCCAAGGGAGCTGGCATTTGTCCACAGACAGCTTTCCGGGTCATGTGGCCAGCAGGACTAAACCACTTCTGGCACAATGGGACACAGTGGCAGAAGCTAGAGCGCACAGAAACACCGTTTACCTTCCCGCCGCAGTGGTACCTATTTATCTACTTGCACTGGTGTGCTTTCGAACTGCTAGGTTGGCAGGACTGAGACACAGCAACAGGAGCTCACCCTGTCGCGCAGCACATAGCTAAATAATGAGACTCACTCCCCCAGGAAGCAGTCATGGCCACCAACCTCGATAGCTTTGAACGAGGATCAGATAAATTCATGGAGGAGAAAAGGTTCCCCATGGCTACTAGCCCCTGGTGGCTATGCTCTGCCTCCACAGCTGGAGGCAGCAGCACTTCTGGATCCCAGTTGCTGGAAACTGCAGGAGGGGAGAGTTGCTCTTGTGCTCAAATCCTGTGAGGGGGTTTCCCTTTGAGGCACCTGCTTGGCCACACTGGGAACAGGAAGGTGGACTAGATGGGCCATTGGCCTCTTCCAGCAGGTTGCTCCACCAGGAGTTACAAAGAGATGTGGGAAATTCTACAGGGCAAGTAACTGGTACGCCCCAAGCTGCTCCCAAGGCTTCCCAGGTGTTGGGATGAGAGGGCGCAAGAGGATGCATGTGGGGCTGTACTGCGGTGCTATCAGAAAAAGAGGCACCAAGGAGAACTTTAAAGGGGAGGGCAACAAAAAACGGTGTGTGTGTGTGTGTGTGTGTGTGTGTAGCAAGCCCTCATACTACTATCAGACCTGCTGGAAGGGCAACAATCCCAAGCAGACTGACTTTGCTGCCCGCTGGCACGACTTCCTTTGCAAGCCTTGGCTTGCCACATAGCTATGGACAGTCTTGCCTTTGGTGCAAAGGACAGGATTTGTGTGCTTTCTGCTCTTGCCAAGTAATTTTTTTTGTCAAAGTAAGAGAACAAAAGTTTTGCTGACCTGTGTGAGGAGGCATCTGGGCATAAGGTGCAGCGTTTTAGAGAGGTATTGTGAAGCCCTGTTTTCCCACACAGCCCCCAACCGAGGGTGGCGGCGGCCTTATTACTTGTCCTCCGTAAGCCCCCATTGCAAACAGTTCACAAGAGGAGATGGCAGCCATGATGGAGGGGAAGCAGCAGCAGCAGCTACGTCATGCACTGTCACCGTTTAAGCAGCTGACACCTGGCATGCATTACCTGGCATGCATTAGCTCGCTCTTTCTGATATACCTCTAGCTGCTCCACCTGTAGGATTGGGGGGTGGGTGGGAGGGAGGGGAAGCAATGAAGGCAGACGTGAAAACACCACAAAAAGCAGCTGGGGCAACTTGTGGCAAGGGTGGGAGCTCAACTGCCAACCCAATCCAGACCGAGAGGGTGTTGCTCATCCCTTCCCCAGAGGCTCAGAGCTGAGAGGGCAGTATCAGAGGAGACATGTGGAACCTGGAGGGGCAATGCTAGAACACTGCGTACATGCAGGAGCAAAAGGGAGCCCATTCAAGGATAACATATAGCCAGCATCTCAAGCAAACATGGCTCCTGGACAACAGCACCCCCTTTGTTAACTTGCATGCTTCAACTTTCAGGGAAAGTATCTACTACTGGCCTACTGCAGACCCCAAAGTTCTAGATCAGGGGTCAGCAAACTTTTTCAGCAGGGGGCCGGTCCACTGTCCCTCAGACCTTGTGGGGAGCAGGACTATATTTTTTTTTGGGGGGGGGGTGAACAAATTCCTATGCCCCACAAATAATCCAGAGATACATTTTAAATAAAAGAACACATTCTACTCATGTAAAAACACGATGATTCCCGGACCGCCCGTGGGCCGGATTTAGAAGATGATTGGGCAGGATCCGGCCCCCAGGCCTTAGTTTGCCTACCCATGTTCTAGAGGGCTAGAGATGGAAGGAGGGTCCCCATTGCTCAAGATGCACCCCATGAGCCAAATAAGGTCTGCTGAGCCTTTCAGGCCACATCTTGCTTCTGCACATTCCCTCTATCTGGACTGCACTATACAGAATGCAGCAAGGTGCGCCCCCACCCCCAGGTGTCTTGCAACCTCACCCAATCCTGAGAGAGATGCTTCCGTCGCACAAGGGTGGCCCTGCAGACCTGTCCCCTTCATTAAGCGAACTGGAACCAGAATTTCTAGGCAGCATGGAAAACCATTAAGAGCCACCATCATTTTCTGTCCAGCGGGCAAATCTAGGCCAGATCCCACACCATTTACTCCATCCGCCTAATCTCCAGAGGCAGGGCTGCCCCCAGGTGAAGCAAGGGAGTAGGGACGAAGTGGGAGGGGGCGCAAAGAGGATGAGCTTTGCCCCCAACCCCTCCACCCTGTTTCAAGAAGGCAAAGAAACCACAGGGTGGGCTGGGGAGATGCAGCTACCTAGGGTAGCCCCTGGGCAACCCCCACCCCCCAAAGCAACCGAATCCCGTGTGGGGCCTTACCTGCACCAGCTGCCTCTGCTTGCTCTCCTCGTACTTCTTCTGGGTGTCCTCGAGCACCCGCTTCATGGCGGCCACCCGCTTCTCCGAGTCGAGCCTGACCAACTCCATCTCCCGCGCGTGCTGCTTCTTGGTCTGGGCCAGCTCTGCCGGCAGGTGCTGCAGCCCCCGGTTCTCCTCGGCCAGCTGCGCCTGGCCCTGCTGGAGGGCGGCCAGCTGCCCCGCGTAGCTGGCCTTCTCCGCCTGCAGCTGCTGGATGGCCCGCTCCCGCTCCAGGAGCCTCTCCTTCACCGCCTGCAGCTCTGCCTGCTCCAGCTTGGCCCTGGCCAGCTCCGCCTGCAGGAGGCCAGCGGCGCTCTGCATCTGCTCCAGCTTCTCACGGTGCTTGCTCTCCTGCGAGGCCTGCTCCGCCTGCAGCTGCTGGTAGAGGCACTTGATGGGCATCAGCTCTGCGATCAGGGCCTGGGCCCCTGCAAACTCCTGCTGCTGGGCGGAGAGCTGCTGCTCCTTCTGGAAGGCCTTCTCCTGCCAGGACTTAAGCTCCTTGCAGAGGTCCTCCTGCCGCTTGGAGGCAGAGCTCTGCTCCTTCTTCAGGGCCTCCACCGACACCCGAAGCTTCTCGGCCTGCTCCTGGGAGCTCTGCGCTTCGGCTTTCATGGTTGAGCACCTCTCAGCTGCCCGGGAAGCTGCGGTGGCCATTTCCGACTGCAGGATCCGCAGCCTCTCCTCCAGCTTCTTGCTCTTCTCGGACTCAGCCAGGGCCAGCCGCCTCAGGTCCTTGATCTCCCCCTCCTTCTCCAGCTGCTGCCTTTGCATGATGGAGGTCTCCTTCTCCATGCTGCTGATGATGCTGGCCTGGCGCTCCGATTCCTGGGCACAGCGTGACAGCTGCTCCTTCCAGCTCTCCTCAGACTTGCTCTTCTCCTGGGCTGTGGCACGTAGGGCGACTAGCTCCTTCTCGGCTCGGGATGCTGCCTCTCTGCTCTGGGCCAGCTCCTTTCCTTTGTCGTGGAGCTCCCTCTTCAGCTTCTCTAGACTGGACTTGGACGCCTCCAGAAGCTGCTCCTGCTCCGCGGCCCTCTCCTTGTGCTGCGCCACCTCCCGCTTCAAAGCCTCCGCCTCCACCTGCTGCTCCCGCTCAGAGGCGGCTGCCACCTTCTCCAGCCGGGCAACGGTGATCTGCTGCTCCTTGCACTGCTTCTCCAGCCTCTCCACCTGCGCGCGGAGAGCCTCACACTCCTTCAGCTGCCCCTGGTAGAGCTCTCGGCTGGAGGTGGACTCCTGCTCCTGCTGCCGCTTCTGCTCCTCCAGGCTCTTGAGGGAGGCGTCCTTGGAGTGCATCATCGACTTGATGCTGTCCATCTCGGCCTTTTGGGTCCGGGCTGCCTCCAGGAACCCTTGCAGCTCACTCTCCATCTTGGCAGCCCTCTCCTTCAGGGCCTCAGCGGAGGCCAGTTCCCCCTTCAGCTTGCTGACCGTCTTCTGCAGGTCCCTTAGCTCCTCGCTGCGGGAGATGTTCTTGAGGCGCAACTCCTCCAGCTCCCGCTCTTTCTCCCCAACCAGCTCCTGGGCCCTGGCTACCTCCTCCTGGAGCCCAGAGACTTCCACTCGGTGCTCGTTGGTGACGTTCTGCAGCTGCACCTCCAGGGCTGCCTTGCTGACTTTCTCAGCGGCCAGTTCCGCCCTGGCCCGTTCCTCCTGGCCCGCCAGCCGCTTGGTTTCCTCCTTGTGCAGGGCCAGCTCCTGCTTCTGCTGCTGGGAGGCCTCTTCCAGCTTGGCCTTCAGGGACTTCAGCTGGCCAGACAGCTTCTCTGTCTCGCGCTCCTTCTCCTTCAGGGCTGCCCTGGTGCTAGAGAGGCTGGACTCAGCTGCACTCAGGTCCTTATGGCTCTGATCCCCTGCCAGCCTCACTTGAGCCTCCAGCTCGGCTACCTTGCGCTTCTCCTCAGCCAGCTCCCTGGTGACAACTTCCAGCGCCTGGGCTGCTTCATGCCCCTCCTTCTTCCCTTTGGCCAGGCTCTGGGCAGCCTCCTTCTGAGCCACAGCCACCTTCTCCTGCAGAGAGGCGATCTCTGCCCGGAGCTGGTCCTCTGTGCCCTTCTTCTCCTTGACCTGCGACGTGGCACGAGCCAAGTCCGCCTGGAGCTCAGCCAGTGCTCCTTGGTGCGTGCTGTTCAGGTGCTTCACCTGAGCCTCCAGTTCTGCCACCTTCTGCTGCTCAGCCTGCAGCCTCAGGTGGTCCTGCTCCTTCTCCCCGCTCAGCGCTCGGACCTTCTCCTTAAGCCTCCCCAGCTCCCCTGGGTCTCCTTTGGCAGCCACAGAGGAGAGCTCTGCCATCTGGTGCTGCAGCTCCTCCACCTTGGTCCTGGAGGCTTCCCCCAGCTGCTGCACTTCTCGTTCCAGGGCTTGCCTCTGGGCCTTCTCCTCACCCATCTCCCGCAGGACCTGGTCCCGGTGCTTGCTCAGTTCCTGAATCTGCTCCTCCAGCTCTGCGATCCGCCGGAGGTTGCCCTCCAGGGACTCGGCCGCCCGCCTCTTCTCATCCTCCAAGATGCCTTCTGTGTTGCAGACGGACTCCTCCAGGATCAGGAGCCGCTCCTGGAGACGGGTGTTCTCCTTGGCCAGCTTCTCCTTGTCAGCCAGCTTCTGCTGTGCCTCACGAAGCTGGCCTTTCAGCACCGACACAGCTCCTGCCTGGGCCTCGCTCTGCTGGCACTGGGCGGTGAGGGCCAAGATCCTGGCCTCCAGCTCCTGGACCTTGTGGCTCAGATCGGCCTTCTCCCTCTGGGCTTCCGTGAAAGTGGCACTCTGAGCACGCAGCCGCTCGGTCAGGGTAGACAGTTCTGCCTCCTTCTCCTGGAGTTGCCTCAGGGCCAGCTCTTTCTCCTGGGCAGCCTTGTTGTATGCTTCCTGGCCTGCAGCCTCCACCTGCGTCAGCTTCTGGTTGCTCTGCTGCAGCGTGCTGGTCAGCTGGTCCACCTGGAGGCTCAGCTCCTGAAGGGCTGCCCGGGAGGCCTGCTCGCTCTTCTGCAAGTCCTCGGCCAGCTGGCCCTTCTGCTGCTGCAAAACCAGCAGGTCCTGGTCCTTCTGGTGGAGGAAGCCCATCAGCTTGGCAATCTCAGCCGTCAGGGCGTTGACCTGAGCGACCAGGCTCTCCTCCTGGGCACGCAAATCCTGCTCCAGCTTCTCCTTGCCTCGAGAGCTCTCAGAGAGGGAGTTCTGCAGCTCCGTGAGCAGGCCTGTGAGCTGGCGCTTCTCCGCTTCAAAGCTGCTCCTCTCGGACTGGAGGCTGGCCTCAAGCAGGTGCTTCTCCTCTTCGAGGCGGAGGACCGTTGCCTGCAGCTCGGTCTGCTGGCCACTCAGGTGGGCCACCTGCTGGTTCAGTTCTTCAAGCTGGTGGGACAAGGAACAGCGAACAAGGTTATACACCCAGAGAACACACAGAACGAGCCTTGCTCCTTCCCCTCCAATACTGCCCAAACACAGACTCACAGCTTATGCACTTAACTTACACAATCTCAGTTTTACGTGCTTGACCAATTTTTTTTTAAAAAGGAGCGTGTGTGGTGTTGGGAGACATTCTGCACAGAAACATGTTTGTACCTTTAAGAACAGTTTTTGTGAGCTCTGGGCTAATTGGGTGCAGCTGGCCATGGCTACAAAAGGAGAAAAGCTGCAGTTTGTACTCTGCCTGCAGGAAAAACACCCACTAGCTTTGCTGTTTTGAAATAAAGTCTTTCAACTAAAGACAACAGAGCCTGACTAAAGCATCGGAAGTGCCAGGGGCAGACTTACTTTATTTTATATACTGCCCTTCATCCAAAGATCTCAGGGTGGGCCACAAGATACATGTACTGGCCAGTAAGGCAGGCGGAAGCTGTAGGGAGTGGAAAGAGTAGGCAAGTCCAGAACTAAGGCAGGCCCTGCAATACAGTGGACCAGGCTAACAATCAGTGGACCAAAACACCACCTAACAATATCTGGGAATACACAGAGATACACAACTCCTACAACTGAAGGGACTTTTCAGGTTAGTTATAGTCCATTAACAACAGAAACGGAATCAAATATTTTTACAATGGTCCAAGTTAACAGTGTTGTGGTTAGTTAGGACTGCTAGCAATAACGAAGGCAGACATTGCCTCAAGTCACACTCTTTTTTAGGGAAGTGTCTCTATAAATATACCCAATGTTAACACGTAAAAAGTCAAAGAAGCTATTAATGTTTTTTTGAATTAACAATAAAAAGCCACAAGTGCCTGCATTAACTCTGCAAAGAGTGGCTGAACTGCCCAGATGTGGTTTTCCGTTACGCAGTTTCATGACTAAAACCATGAGCCTAACATAGATGAGTCACTGGCCTGTGCCTCCGAGCAGAGTTGATGCAGAATCCCTTGGCAAATAGTTCCCGTGCGCACACTTATTGTAAGAAACTAGCTCTAAAGTCTAATTAAGAGGTGGGAAATCCCTAGTCCGTGAGGTCCTTTCCAGCCACCACACCCCTTTGCCACTCACTCAATGTCATCTGCCACCAGGCCTGGGACAGGTAAAGCCGCAGCTGGCAAGGAACCATGGGAAGCCAGGCACTCAAAGTGCCACCCCAAGTGTCCTGTACAGCTGGCATTTGGCAGTTTGAATTTGGCACCAAATGCCCGTCAGCTGAGTTTGGTCACCTTTTCATCCAGTCCATTGGGCAACATTAGTTACCCCACCTCTTATTCAACAAAAATATCTGTTCTGCAGACATGGGACGAGTATGAATGTCTATTTTAATCAAGAACATCCCTTTTTATAATTTCATAAAATTTATACACTGCTTGACTGTGGAAAAACACACACCCTCAGAGTGGCTTACAAAAATACAAAAAACAAAATTATCACCAAGAAAAATTAGCAACAATGATTTTGGGAACATTCGGAAAGTTAAAAGAAGAATAGACTAAAAACAGATTAACATTTGCTTCAACTTTCTAAACATCCGGGTAGGCTTGTCTAAACAAAACTGTTTTTAGCAGGCACTGAAAAGGGTACAGTGAAGGTGCCTGCCGGACGTCAACAGGCAGGGAGCTCCAAAGTGCAGGTGCTGCCACTCAAAAAGGTAAGAGAGTTCTTACAAATGCGGGAGGGGTGTTATGTGGCACCTGAAATATACACTCCTTTTTATACAACAATGCAGTTCAACTAGTTGGCGACACAGCGTTACCAAGGGTTTCACGGAGCGAGCCACCTGACCGCCCCGGCCCCCTGTGTGACAAGTGACATTTCTCTCCTGGGACCCGTCTCACCAGGGCCCTGCTCCTACCTTGAGAATGTCACCCATGACCTCTCCTTTCTCTGGCAAGGAAGTGGTCTCCCTCAGCTTCGCCATCTGGTCCTCCAGCAAGGAGTACTTTCCCTGCAGAATCTCCAGCTTCTCTTCCAAGCACCTCTGGAGAACAAGACACAGGTGGGGAATGGAATTGTGGAACCCGAGCTGAAAAGAACCATCCCATCAACCCAGTTGGGTCCAACCCCCACCCCCAACCAGCAACAGCCACCGCCGCAGAGGACTGCATCACCTCTGACTGCTGGAGGCAGATGCACCCGCTCACACCTCTTCTGGTCCAGGGAGGCAAAGGACCATGGGCAATGAGCACACAGTGCCTCCTCCTTTCCATCTAGTGAACTTTTCCAGGGATCTACCCATGTGGCTGTGTGGTGTCCAACAAGGAAAAAGCCACATTACTTATCTGCAACTCACTGCCCCCACCCTACACAAACCCCTGTTGCCCAAGACTGAGCCCAGGGATGGCCTCCTCTCCGTTAAGGGGGAGGGCTCCCTGCTTGTTAGAACTCCTGGCCAGGCTTTCATGAGTGAAATGTGTGAAGAATAAGAACTGAACAGCCACCACCATTACTGCACATGCCCACAACCTCCTTAAATAGCTCTTCTCGGGGGAGAGCACAACGGAAGTGGTAGCCACAAGCAGCAACTATCTTCTGAGCATACTCAGAGCCCAGGAAGCATGACAGAAGCATCTGTTGAAAGGCAAATATCCCTGACCAGAAGCAGAGGCCTTGGGAACTCAATCCGTGTTGTTACAAATCCCATGCCATTCCTATTATGGGCTATAAAAGCTACTGCTGAAGGTACCAGAGCCAATCTAACCTGCTCCTTACTTTGCTGGCCTATTTCCACTCTGCCTGGGAAAGCCAAGACTGATCCCAACTACAAAAGCTGCTGCTGAAGTTGCCAGAGGCCACCTTACCTGCCAGTCCAGAGAAACACGCTCCTCAGGATGTCTAGAGGCAATCAGGGCAGGGGGCTGTTTAGGGGCTTTAATTTTGGTGGTACATTGTTTTTGCTGTTTAATTTTTTTTGTCATTTTGTCGTTCAGCCTTCTTATGAATTAGAGGGGGGTTGTTTAATCTGATTATTTGTTAAGGAGACATTTTCATTAACTTATTTTTAAAAATCCTGTATTTTGTAGCTTAGTGAAATTATGTATTTGTTAGCAGGCTGAAGCATCATTTACTGCAGAAAATCAATGACGGTGATGACCACATGGACGAGGAGAACAGACGACCTCCTGGCCTTAGCCCCTGGGGGTGGAAGGGGGGTGTCTCTTCCTGCCCACTGACCTTCTCACTGAGGGCACTGCTCAGCTCCCTCTCCAGGCGGCTCCTCTGCTCCTCCCATTCCCTTAGAGCTGTGTTGTGCTCTTCCGAGAGCTCATTCATGGCTTCCTGGAGTTCTGTGTGAACGTGAGCAAATTCCCGCAGCTGTGTTGCAAAAACAGGGAAAGGATTTATTTGACACTTGTTGCCTTTGTCTTTAGCACTGGTACAAACTCCCCTGCCCTGAAATTGTGGCAGACTGTGCAGAACAAACCCTCTACTGCAAGTGTGTAATGAAACATGCAGAAAAGGCAGCAGCAAAACGTGGCTGGCATTTGTTGGAGACAAGCAAATAACATTTCCTTCTCAATGAACTTCTAAGACAATTCATGTGTTACTTTAAACCACAGGAGGACACTGTCTAGCAACCTAGCCTGCACTTGCTTGTAAGTCTCTATAGGCTAACTCCACCCCTTAAAAGCTGAGCAATTTTGTTGCTGTTTTCTCCCAGCTTGTTGAGACAGGATGCAAAATTTCATCTCTCACAGCTCCACTAATCCTATTGATAGTTCCTGCATCAATAAAGCCTCTGAACTCCAGAAACTAAGTTATTATTCCAATCTAATTTACCCAAGCTGTGAGGTCTGCTAACAGTATTAATACTCCTGGTGGAATACAGGTGGTTATAGCTCAGTCGGCCTTGTTGGGATTCCTCTGAGGTCCCTGTGTTCAATTCAAAGACAAGCATAAGCACTGCTAAGGGGCATTGAATTGGGGGACTGAGGTTTTACGAAAGGGACCTCATAGCTCAGGGTGGAGTCCATCCTTTACATCCAGCATGTTGCAGGTAATGGGGAAGAGACCTCTCTGTCTGCCCGAGGGTCCCAGGGAACCACGGCCAGTCAGAGCAGACAAGATGGACCAGTGGCCTGACTCTGTGTAAGGGAACCACAAGTTCCTCTAAGGCCTTCACATGGGGACTTGTGTAACCCGCTCTGCTGCTGTAGTTTTTACTTGCCTCTCTTTATTCTGATGCTGTGTTTTGTAATTATTATATGGTTTGTTTTATGTACTGTTTCTTGCTATTTGTATAGATGAAGGGCAGGATAGAAATATTTTTAATCAATAAACGAAATAACCACTTGAGTTTCAAGATTCCCTGTGGTCTATGACACGTGAGCTGAGAATGGGGCACATTTCTCCCGGGTGCCACCTCAATGCCTTTCTGCTCCAAGACCAAAACTCAATGAACCCTTTCCAGGATCTCAAGGCGCAGAAAAGGAATCAAGGGTCACCTGAGTTTCAGGCAGAGGCAATACCTCAACCTGCAGGTCCAGTATAATTGTGCTTCTCCCCACCCCCAACCCCACATTTGGAGACTACAAGGCTGCTACTGCAGCAACAACAGAAAGCAGGTGCTCGCGTACCCTGAAAGCAAGATCCCCATTCTCTTCTGAGAGCTGGTTGATTTTCCGGTCCATCTGGCCTTTTTCAGTTTTCAGGTCTTGGCACTGCTTCAGTGTCTCATGTAGGCGCATGAGGAGGCTGAGGGAGAAAGAGAGGGAGGCAGGCATGACAAGAAGCAAGAGCGCTACTTGAGGGCAAGAGTGGCTCCCTCCCTTGGCCTGGGCTCTGGAGCCAAGAGCAGGGAAGCAGCTCAGGGAACCTCTCCCAACACAGGGTGCGGATCATCTTCTTCCTTGGAGGTTTTTAAGCAGAGGCTAGATGGTCATCTGTCTTGGATGCTTCAGCTGAGATTCCTGCATTGCAGATTCTGTGATCGTAGGAAGCAGGCAACACACAGGCGGGGCTTGAGCCTCCACTACAAGGCCGAGAGCTCTTTGGGTTGAAAGACAGCCTGATTGCCTGCCTTGCTCCACAGCTTTTAAGGGTTGCTGCTGCTATGACTTCTTGAGGGAGCTCCATGCTTAGAACAGCTCAGCTCCCTTTAAGTACTATGAAATCCAAAGTCCAATACAGTAGACTTTGAAAGATGCCACACGCAAGGCTCTTTGGGGCTGACAAACCAGCATCCCTTAGTCAGGGCCCATAGTCAACTTCTGAAAAGGGGGTTTAGTCAAAGCAACAGCAGAGGGCCAACAAATCCTAGTCCAGGGTTTCCCAAACTTGGGTCTCCAGCTTTTGTTGGACTACAACTCCCATCAACCCTAGCTAGCAGAACCAGTGGTCAGGGATGATGAGGACTGTAGTCCAAAAACAGCCAGAGACCCAAGTTTGGGAAACCCTGCCCTAGACTGAGCACATCAGCTCCTGCTTCCCATGGATCTCTAGGATATAATAGGGACCAAGATTCCACATCTTCCCCCTTCCGAGTGAATGATCAGGAGCTTGAGAGAGGGGAGAGTAAATGAGGGGAAAGAAGACATGCCTTCCTCCTCTCTCCCCACTGAATGTCAGCCACAAACAAGTCTGAAGGAGGAAGAGAATAATTCTCAGCTGTTTTAAAGAAGAATCAACTCCAAGCAGCTGAAGGCAATCATAAGCCAGGTGTGCCTAGGGAAGAGATTTGCAAATGACTCTCAGCTGTTTCTTAAATGGCACCCATGTGCCAGATACTATAACACCACAGCAGTGGCACAGTCCCTAGAGCACTGACAGCATTTCCTCCCTCTCCTTTCTTTCAAGGAGCTGGGCTAGGGCAAAGGCACATGGATCCTTTGCATTTTCTTGACAATAATGCTACGAAGCAGGTTAAGTCAGAGACAGCGACTTGCCCTGGGTCAGTGGGTGAGCTTCATAGCTGATAGAAAGGACAAGGTGGAGGGTAGAAAAGATAAGCAAGGATGCTAGGAGGGTGGAGAGCAAATTGGTTGGAGCCTTTTAAGGCAAAGGCACCAGTCATGGCAAGGAAGGCACTAAAGGCCGAAACAGCACACAAAAGATAGTGAAGGGCAGTAAAAACAAGTAAGATAATAAGACAAATAAGGATAATGAAAAGGGCAGGAGTTAAGGAGAGACCCTGGCTGCTTCGATTAAAGGTAGGAACAACTGAGGTGCACAGTGGGAACTGCCTAGTTCCCAAGGTGTCCTCACCACCTTTGACCAGCAGGTGAAGCCAGAGGCCAACACTATTTTCTTACCTGGCAAAGTCTTCTTCAAAACAACCCAGCACCCCAGATCAGAGCCAGGAAAGTCCAACAGAGCAAATCAGTATTATTTAGTAGGTTTCTATCCCACTTTTCGACTTAAGTCTTCAAAGTAGTGAGCTAGACACAAAATGTAGAGAACCAGAGGGGCTGCCCTAGTGGGACATTCCAGCCCGAGGGAGGAAGTACCTCTCGTTTTTTTCTCTGAGTTCCTCCATTTCCTTGGATTCCAGCTGATCCGCTGCTTGCTTCTCATGTAGGAGGGTCAGGCGGTCGATCCGCTGCTTCATCATCAGGATCCGCGTTTCTGAAGCAGGAGGGGAGAAGAGAGGGCACTGATTATTCAGAAACTAAAAGGCACATGGTGGCTTCCCCCTGTACAGCAACTAGGCTCCTCTCCATCCAGACAAAGCGACTCTGGACGGGCTGTGTGTTGCTCTGCCTCTCAGCAGAGGTTGCACAATAGACAGAGCAGCACAGGGAACAAAGACAAATAACAATGGCATCTGAACGCAGGATTAGGCAACTTGCTCACTTTGCAGAAATTTAACCTGACTGCAGAATTTGGAGGGAGGAGAGTGAGGGTGTTTGCGTCTGGCATGTGCCCTCTTTAACAGAAAGGAGAGCTGGTGGGGCCAGTAAGGTGGTTTGCCAGATGGATCTACGGCTGACCACAATTAGGAGCAGGATTTTAAGTTCTAGTCCATGGAAAGTTCCATTAGGATCCTAACACATCATCTAGTTCTTATCTAGATCATATTCCTTCTAGTTAGATTATTATGTTATGCACTTGTGGGTACCAGACTCTTCTAAAACTCCTGGGTTCAGTAGGGGTTGGGATTTAATCAAGGCAAATGTTAAAATAGAAGCCAGGCCAGTTTCCTGATGAGGTAGGCCAGGCATCGGTAAACTCCAGCCCTCCAGATGTTTGGGACTACAATTCCCATCATCCCTGTCCTGTTAGCTAGGGATGATGGGAATTGTAGTCCCAAACATCTGGAGGGCCGGAGTTTGCCTATGCCTGAGGTAAACGCTTGGGAGATGAGCCATTTAGAGAACACTGGGAAGGTAATGAGCCATTAGGAAAACCAAAGAAGGAGGGGGCTCTGGGCCAATAGCAAATGAGAGAGTTGGTTAGAAGACAGAGGGAGAGTTTAAAGTGGAGTCTTTAGGGTTGGCTGCAATGTGACCTAGCGATGAAAAATGGTTGCAGGCTGGCAAAGGCAGCAAGCTGGAGAGAGGGTCAGCGCACAGTGGTGAATTTGTTTGAATTCAAGGCTGCAGCTATGCAAACAAGGCCCTTTGAGGAGCTAATGCTCTGAGTCCCTCCATCGCAGGTTCAGGTTGTATATATGCGTAAACAAACCATATATCCTAAAGACACCACAGTCTGAGCCATGTCTCATTTCCAAAAGGAAACACGAACCCTGGGTAAGCTGACCTGGAACCACTGGAATCTCGCCCACTGAGATTGAGGTGGCGTGCAACAATTATTAATAATGTTTTTTTTGTCCCAACCTCCCTCTAGGAGCCCAGGGCAGCCATACAACATCAGTTAAAACAGCAGGAAAAAACCCAGACCTACAGTCTCCAAGGAACCGCTAGCATTGCTTTTGCCGTCACACCCATTCCCTGATGGTTCACTGCTACCACCCTCTTTTCCTGCATCTGAGAGGTTCAGGAGCACTTTCATTGCTTCTTCCCACAAAAAGTGCTTGAGAAAAGGGCTCTGCTTGTCTCAGCACCCTGGCAGCAACCACCCCACTCCAGTGGCTGACCCCCTCACCTTTCTCATCAACGAGCTTTCGGCTCTCTGCCAGCTCGTGTTCCAGCTCATCTCGATTTTCTCTCTCGTCTTCCAGCAGCTTCTTCAGCTTCCTTATCTGAAACTGGGGTGAATGCATGATGTCACCCATAGGAGAGGCAGAGGAGCCGGGGAGCAACCTGCAAAGAAGTACCAGCCATCTGCATTTGAATTTTTATTTTTTGCATGTGAAAGACGCTTGCACAAAACTCTTGCTGAGCAAAATGTGGTTCATGTTATGACATCCAAAAGGAAACAAGTATAAATGGTTAACCATTCAGATTCTACAAGCGCTATTAAAAATTCCACATTTTGCCAAGAAACATGACCCAGCCATCCCATTTATCTAGCTGACACACAAAGAGATGTGTTTTGCAATGTCCCCAAACATGCTGTGCTAACCTCACTCAGGCTACAGGGCAAGTGATATGGTCTTAGAAAGCCATCCCTGCAACTGTAACAGGGAAGAGGGTCTAGAGCTAGACAACGCAGGCATCTGTTCCTAGCTCCTCTGCTCACGTTTAGCAAATACTAGCAATGGAGAGCCAGGGATACCACCATGCAAGCTGCAAAGAGGTTGAAGCAGAGTTCAAATCCCGGCTTATCCCATGCCACTCAGCCAACGACAGCACAGCCAACGTCAGTGACAGCCACAGTTCCAACTGCAGACAGCAATGAGAGCCCAGCTGAACAAGCCCCTCCGTGAGATCACAAAGAGAGTGCCAAGAAGTAGACACAGTTCAGACTCTACGACATGCACCACCTTCCATTACGGCTGACGGCAGCACTCGCTCCCAATCAGGCTTCCAGAATTCTTCTGGCCCCACTTGGCAGGCAGTGTGAGGCAACTTCCTGTGTTCCTGAGTCAAACCCTGGTCCATCCAGCTCAGTACAGCCTACACTGACTGGCAGTGGCTCTCCAGGATTTCAGGCAGGGGTCTCACCTGGAGGTGCCCGTGGGGACTGTACCTGGCGCTTCCTCAATGCAAAGCAGGCCCTCTACCATGGAGCTACGGCCCCTTCCCCTGAAGCAGGCATTCAAGCAGAACCTAAGAACACTGCTTTTAATTTTTTTACTTAGAACTATTTAAAGGACTAGGAGGGACGCGGGTGGCGCTGTGAGTTAAACCACAGAGCCTAGGGCTTGCCGATCAGAAGGTCGGCGGTTCGAATCCCCGCGACGGTGTGAGCTCCCGTTGCTCGGTCCCAGCGCCTGCCAACCTAGCAGTTCGAAAGCACTCCCGGGTGCAAGTAGATAAATAGGGACCGCTTACCAGCGGGAAGGTAAACGGCGTTTCCGTGTGCGGCTCTGGCTCGCCAGATGCAGCTTTGTCACGCTAGGCACGTGACCCGGAAGTGTCTCCGGACAGCGCTGGCCCCCGGCCTCTTAAGTGAGATGGGCGCACAACCCTAGAGTCTGGCAAGACTGGCCCATACGGGCAGGGGTACCTTTACCTTTTTATTTAAAGGACTGGAGTGAGAGCTGCTTAAAAGAGAACTGTCTCAGGGGAATGCACTTTACTTTCCTGAATTTCCCTTCAAACTGTTCACCAGAAAAACACTTTGTGGGAGTGGGGGAACCTAGATCTAATGAAAATGTTATTAAGTGATCTAAGGAACCTTGGAGACCCAAGGTCTTGTGAAGTCTTACAGCTACTCAGCTGACTCTATAATCTAGATGATATTTGATATATTGTCATTCGCATACATTTTTATGTTATTATCTTCTATTTTTTAGAAGTTTCCATAAAGTTGGCTTAAATGTAACCTCCTTCCTTGGGCATATCACTAGAAACATGAATTGAGCAGGCACACATACGCTGTCCAAACTGACATTTAAGGTCTCTTAGCCCACCTGCACCCACAATGGGATTCACCAACTCTGTTTTGAGCAGACACACAGTTTGGCCACATGGGGGTGCTGTGGTGGAGGAAGAACTCTGTTCCCAGGCCTCACCTGGCTACCCCAGGAAGTCTCTTTACTCCAGCTTTTGACACCAGAGGTACAACATGTTTTCACAACCCGGCCTATTCCTGCGACTGAATTTCCTTCAGCTGTTTTCAGTTCTGTGTCTTATTTTGTTATAACCCACCTAGAATCTGCTGGTGAAGGGCAGGCGATAATGCAATAATAATAATTATGGTATGGGGCTTCACTGCCTATACAACTCCCTATCATCTCTTCACCACCTCTTTATTCTCTCCCTGCCAGTTTCTGTGCAAACCACAAATTCCACGCTTCCAAAGGCAACTCAGAATTCTACAAAAAATCAGATTCCACCTTCACAAGCTGAGGAAAAAGCCTCAAGTAACTTAGTTAGATCAAAAGCAGAGATCCGGTGTCTCCTTGGAACAGAATTTGGTTTCCCCAGGCAGGGGCCATATCAAATCCTGCAAGTGCCCTGAAAGGAGGGTTTCCATCTGCCTGTGTGGCATCAGACTGCTGGAATTACAACCACGAATCCTGGGAAACAGCTCATCAATAACTTACTTATTCAAGCCGGATGAAGAGGCGACCTTCTGCAGCTTCAAGAAGTGTACCTCTCGCCTTGGTGGGGTGGTCTCCTCCGAGCTGGTGCTGGAGATACTGGATGATTGTGGCACTAGAGGAAGAGGGAGGGTGTGCAGGATGTCAGAGCCAGCTTGGCAGCAGCCAAGAAAGAAGCAAAAGCAGCAAAACCTTAAGCTCAGGGTCCATTCACCCCCCATCCACCCCGTTTGGGTCAGCTGAAGAAGTTCAAGGAACGAAGAATTCGGTTTATTAAGTGGACAGATCAACCAGCTTATGAAGAAAATGTTTCAGGGGTTTTTTTTAGCGGAGGAAGAAAAAAGCAAGGAAGAGGGGCTATGAGTGGCTTATAGAATCAGGAATACCAAATGGGAGATAGTATGTTCCCAAAGCATAAAGGGCCTTTCACTGACAGTAACAGCCAGACAATCTAAAGGCAAACACAACACACAATCAAAGTGTCTTGTGAGGACAAGTAGAAATCCACTTTCCAGGATTCTCTGCAGTTTAGGGCCCCCATACAGAGGCTGCATAATGATGTTTACTCTGTATCCAACATGGAAAGTTTACAAGGCATAAAATCTTCTTCTGACTCATTTGCATGCAGATATACAAGTTGATTGAGGCTGGAGATGTGCATCACTGGCGTGCAGATGTTGCATGCCAATGGGCCAGAAGCAAGAAGAGGCTTTGTCTGCCAGACAGAATACCTCCACAGGGAAGTGTTTTTCAGAAGCCGCCACATAAGGGGTGTAAGTCTTGAGCCAGCTCTGGACAGCAGTATTCTGCATCAATGCAGTATCTCCGGCCCTTAAAGCTCCTGCTCACTCCGACCAATTTGCAAGAGCTCAGCCAGCATCGTTCCCTTTGACTCTCCCCACCCTCTGTAAATTCTGCCATGCTAATGCCTACACCTGGCTCCTACTTGCTTTGGAAAAGCAAGACAGTAGCTTTTGAACCAATGCCTTAACCTCACCAAGAACACTTGCATCTCAACAGAGAGCTCAGCAAAAAACGCCACCCCAACTAGTGACTCAGTCTTTATCCTCTTTAGACTTGCTGTATAGGAACCGCTGCCCCCTCCCGCTGCTCACTGCCGTTCCAACAAACCTGTGGTGGGGCAGCTATGAGATCAAACTGTGTGGCCCGATCTGGGTTGAGCCACTGAAGTCAGCAGGGCAGCCTTGTGCCCCTGAAGGCATTTCAGTCCCGCATGCTCACCCGGCACTTACTTTTCTTTTGAAGGAAGGTCTCCAGATTCTCACCGAGGCAATCTTCGTTGTACAACATGAAGTTCAGCGACTTAGCCATCTCCGCCTGAGGGAACAGGGAGGAGGAGGAGGAGGAAGAGACAGGGCAGAATGAGCAACTGTGAACCTAAGAGCAGCCTTCATTGCTGGATGAGGCAAATGGCTCCTCTAGTTCAGCACATGGCTCTTCTCACAGTGGCCAACAAGATGCCCCCACTGGAGGAAATGTGCAGCCCTCCCTACTTGTGGTTCCCAGCCAAAGGCACTTCTGGTCACATGTAAAGCCAGAGGAAGGTATCCTGCCCTTCAAGCAAGCTTTCCCCTCTGCAGTTTTTGCTTGGACTATCCTTTGTGGAATGTGACCCACCCCACAACCATCACCACAGACAGTTCTTCCATCCCTAGCAGGCTCCAAATGGTCACTTAGCTGATAAGGCATCTATAGCTGGAGGCAGAATGTTTGAGTTACCTGGAGATCATACTCAACCGTGGTCCATTCTCTGGGAATCTTATCACTCATGGAAGCATAGTAAAACAGCAGCATGACCACCTGAAGAACGGCAGAGACAGAGTGATGTAACATACATACAAAGGGAGTGCAAGACTGTGCATTTTGCCTGTCAGAAGATGCAAAGATATGAACTCTGATGTTGTGTATAGAGCTTTCTACAAATGTCCTTAGAACCTTTCTAAAATAAGCTGTATGTCGATCCAGGATTGGTTGCTATCTTTCCACCACTGGTGAGTGATTTTCCATAATTTGGAAATAGCTCCTCCCACTTATCAGGCCACCATTGTATGTGTTTAAAACAATGACTTGTGTTAATGAACTTCACTGTGAGGGCACATCTGCATGCATAGTGAAGGTGATCTAGGAGAGCTGTGGAGTGGAATAAAACTTTGGTCAAGAGACTAGATCATAATGCAAATCTAGAGGGCTGGTGGAGTTTGTGGGGGAAGGCAGCATATGACCCACCAATGGTTAACTTTAATCTTGCATATTGTTTTTCAAAGTTTAATAGCAAAGTCACATATTCATATTCTATTTTGCTTTCCATATAATCATCATCTGCATAACATTGTTCCTTATTTCTCCCTTTCCCAATATTTATTCATGTACAATGTACCGTTGATTGCTCCTTCATACCATTACGCTCACCCCTTTTATAAGCTGCAATGTGTTTCCTTCTGTCGATGACTTTAAAATATATATTTTCTAACGCATTTTAGCTTATTGAGCCCTGTTTGAGCACCACCCTCTCACCCTCTGGGGCACGTTAAGAATCTCATTCCAGCATGTCCTCTTGACGCTGCTAACCACCATCTCCCACAATGAGATTTAACTTGCCAGCCTGAGCCCCTAAATAAAGAGAGCAGCAGGTGTGTGCATACCTTGGCTAGCTCCAACTCCTCCGCTGCTAGAAGCTTCTCTTCAGATACCAAGTTCTGTGCTGTAGATTTGTGCTTGCAACGTTCTGGAAGAGGAATGTGAATTTTAAAAAGGCGTCTTTGAATTCAATCACAGCACCAACCCCAAGGAAAAGGTCTAGACTACTTATGGAACCCAAAACAATCCCACACCTGCACCCCATCCTCAGGTGGAAGGCTGCCAAACTGAAAGTGCAGGGGTGGTTTATCAAAAAGATCTAGGAAGGTTTTCGGCTTCAAAAATGAGGAGTGTAGCCACTACATTTTTGTCCATTTCGGCTCTAAAGCTTAGACTGCTTTACATCTATGTACACTTCATCTTTTTAGCTGCTCTGGGGCATTTACTGCTCAGAAGCAGCAGAGGCGTTCCAATGGCTTCCTCTACTTTAGCTGTGGCAGCTTGCCATGAGCACCTTTGGACTGCACCTGAGACCAGGCTTGAAATAGCCTTTAACCATGTGGGCCCAAGGCAAGTAAGAATCACCTCTGGGCAGCTAAATGTCTCTGGCTGAGTTTTCTCTCTTCTCTCCTGCAAAAGGGGGACCAGTAGGCAGAAGGGGAACTTAAGCCTAGCAAGCCTTGCCGTGTTTATTCCCCTCCCCTGGCCTTACATGGGTAGAGGGACCTGCTGGCTACTTTCTTCCAATGCTCAATCTTCACAAAATCATTGTGGGAGCTGAACATAGGCTCACATACTCTTGTAATTTTTAACTGTATGAGCGGGGAAAAGCAGTGCAGTATGGAAAAGTGCCACTCTTGCCACCAACTCTATCCATCTTCTAGGAACAGGGGAGGATGTTAGGAAGTTTCTGCATTAACAACAGCTTTGCTTGCCAGTTTCCTCCACATTGGAGAGTGTGGCAGATGGAGGCTCAGGCTGATGTGCAGACAACAGATTATCTAAATTCAGAAAGAGCCAAGATGCACCAAGTGGCAGGATCCCTTACTCTTGAGGAAGCCGACGACATACGCAACCCGGTCTGGCAAACTCTGCTGCAAAGGGTCCCGTCCCTCTTCAGAGCCATGACTGGAAGAGAACAAAGCAAGCACTTCAACAGAGAGACATTCCTGGTGAACTATTTGACCAGAGGGATGATAAGAATCAGAAACAAATGAGGAAGAGGGGGACACATTAATGCAGTTCACATCTACAGTCCAGCCTGTTTACTGTGGCACCTAGAATGGACCTCTTTGAAGCCTGAAGCTATGTAACATGGTAAAACGGTAGCCGTTTCCCTTGCGAAACTGGACAGGGAAGAAGTCTGGGTACGACTAGTTCCAATTCAAAGCAGGCTGGTGTATTTGTGGGCAGGGAGAAGTGTCATTAAGTGAAAAAGAGTATGCATTTTTAAGCTATTACGCCGTTAATGAAGCAGGAGATCTAGCTAAAAGGCAAAGCCAAGGAATTTTTTTGCTTGCTTCGTAAAGGGCATTCATACCATAAAGCAATCTGAAATAGACTTCCTATGAACATAGAAGATTAAATGATCTATCAGTCCCTAAAGCTGTCCAATCAAGCCCTCCCCATGATCTCCTGTTGATTTGGACTACAACTCCCATGAGTCCCAATGATCATGGCCATATGCTGCTGGGCCTGATAGCAGTTGTAGTCCAAAACATCCGGAGGGCACCAGATTGGGGAAGGCTGGTCTGATTCTTCTTGAAAAGGCAGCAGTGGGAAACACCACAATTGCCAGCTGCTTATCAATGTCATTGGTATCTCTGTATGACCAGAAACTATGGGAGCATCTGACTGGGTTCATACTGGGAACGGTGGGTAGGGAAAAGACTTGATGATCAGACTGCAAGACTAACACAGACCAGGACACAAAATGAACCCTCAGAAAGACAACCGCTGCCCCTGGTGTCCTCCACTTATCCTTTGCATCCAAAGGCAGAACTCCCCAGACTTAATTACTAACGATTAGATTCTGTTTACTTCCTTGTTTACATTGTGAGCAACGCCCACTAGAGACTGCACAAAGATGCACTCAAAAGAGCCACGAGGGGGAGCCAATTGTGCTGCTTCTCAAGTTTGCGACACTAAGAGTCAGGTCTGGAACAACCCCTGTACTATGCTGCCTGAAACAAGTATCTGAGAACCATGGAGTTGCAGAGTTGGAAAAGGACCGCAAGGGTCATCTAGTCCAACCCTCTGCAATGCAGGAATCCTTTGCTCAACGTGGGTCTCGAACCTACGACCCTGAGATCAAGAGGCTCATGCTCTACCAACTAGTGAGCTATCCCAGTTCCACGCTTCACAATTTTAGGACGTTTGGTCGGCATTTTTTCAGCCAAGCACCCACACTCATCTACTCTGAGCTCAGGCTACTCAGCAGAACCCAAACAGCTTCAGAGTCTGACACAGCAAACTGCCAAGAATTAAAATGTTAGCTCTGAAAATTCAAGGAAGGGATTTGCTTCACTGCAAGGTGCTTGACACGGGTTGCGCTGTGGGTAAAAGCCTCAGCGCCTAGGGCTTGCCGATCGAAAGGTCGGCAGTTCGAATCCCCGCGGCGGGGTGCGCTCCCGCTGCTCGGTCCCAGCGCCTGCCAACCTAGCAGTTCGAAAGCACCCCCGGGTGCAAGT